CGTCGACATCTCCGTGGTGGATATTCGCATCCAGCGCGCATTTGGCACGGATGTTGAAGTTTTGGAGGCTTCTGGCCCCCTGCGCTCGCCGATGCGCCCGGCTGTGCGGTTTCGAATTCGCGCCGAGGGGGGCCCGGGCATCTCGAAGCCCCGCCCCGCATCCAATGGGGCGCCCACGTGGGCCAGCGCCGCGGCCGTCATAGCGGTCAGCGCTCGACCGCCAAGACAATATTCCAGCGCTGCCCAGTCTGACTCAGTCGGGCCCCGGATCCCGCAGTGCGCTGAAAAAGAGCTCGTAAACCTCTTGGGTCTGGACGAGCCCCGGCCCCGCTTCGGGCGCGGCCCCCCCCCGTCGGTGGAATTCTTTACGCTTCGCGTATCCCCGCCAGCCCATCTCACAGCAGCAACTCTTGCGAAGCATGCCGACAGTCGTGTTTTTCAGGCGTGTGTCCGCTTGGCCCCGCATATCTCCCCTGTTCCTCCTTCCTCCCGCCTCCTTGCGCGTTCTCCTTGTGGGGGGAGCGGGAGAAGGACGAGGCGGAGGAGGAGGGGGAGAAAGCGCTCCTCGTGATTTGAGTCGTTTGGGGTTTCTCGTCCTGGTGTGAGTCGTTCGGGCCCTTCTTCCTGGTGTGAGTCGTTCGGGCTCTTCGTGGTGTGAGTCGTTCGGGCTCTTCGTCCTGGTGTGAGTCGTTCGGGCTTCTCGTGGTGTGAGTTGTTCGGGCCCCTCATCCTGGTGTGAGTCGTTCGGGCCCCTCCTCCTGGTGTGACTCGTTCGGGCTCCTCGTGGTGTGGGTCGTTCGGGGCCCGCGTCGTGGTGTGAGTCGTTCGGGCTCCTCGTGGTGTGAGTCGTTCGGGCGCCTCGTCCTGGTGTGAGTCGTTCGGCCCCCTCCTTGTGGTGTGAGTCGTTCGGGCTCCTCGTGGGGCCTCTTGGGGGCCTCTTGGAGCCTCTTGGGGCCTCTTGGGGGCCTCTTGGGGGCCTCTTGGGGGCCTCTTGGGGGCCTCTTGGGGGCGTCTTGGGGCCTCTGGTAGCCTCTTGGGGGCCTCTTGGGGGCCTTTTGGGTGCCTCTTGGGGCCTCTTGGGGGCCTCTTGGGGGCCTCTTGGAGGCCTCTTGGGGGCCTCTTGGAGGCCTCTTGGGGGCCTCTTGGGGGCCTCTTGGGGCCATCTTGGGGCCTCTTGTGACCTCCTCAGAAGCGCAAATGAGCGCTGCCCCAAGGGCAACATGAACCCAAAACCTTCGTAAAATCAATGATTTTGCTATGAGCTTTAAGGAGCGCTGCCCCCTCAGAAGGGCAAGATGGGGCCAAAACCGTTGTAAAATCAATGATTTTGGCTTCACAGAAGAGGAGAGGGTTTTTTCTCCCTCCCCCCGTCGGGGCCAGAATCCTCGTGAGGGGTGTCGTTTTTGAGTCCTCCCAGGAGTCGAAATTGACCCCCCTGACGACCCGCGAGGCGCCCTCTCCAGGCCCAGGGGGAGGGGGTAGGGGGAGGGGTAAACCCCTCCCCGAAGGGGAAGAAGGGGGGTTGAGGACAGAGCGGGCTCTCTAAACCACTCACGCCCAAAGGGCTGGTGGGATTGGGCCCCTCCTTGTGGGCCCCCGGGCGGGCGCCGGGCCCGGGGAGGTCGCCCGGCCCCCGAGCCCGGCGGTGGATCGCCGCTCGGTCGGCGACTGGGCGGCCCGCCAGGAAGGCGCTTGGATCAGAGCGAGCGCCCGCCGCGCCATGCTGGAGAAACGCGCGCTGGGAGGCAGCGCCCGTCTGCGGCCTGGCCCGGGCGAGCTGGGCTCGCCGTGGCGCAGTTTGCCAAATTCCGCGTGCTCATTCGACTGGCCTGCGCCGCTCGAGCAGGCCCCCGAGATCGCGGGTCTGCAGAGGCGGGCGGTGGCCAGCGCGCAGCGCGTCGAGGGGCAGCAGGGCCCCGAGAGATTCAAAGAATGGCGAGGACGTTTGAAAACGGAGTCCACCGCTGGCTCCTCGCTCATGCGCGGGAATAGCAGGTGGCGCGCCCCACCTCCTGTCGCGGGCCACGCTTCCCATGACCTCGACCTTGCTGATCCTCCGACTTCGGCAGATAGAGCTGCAGATGAGTGGTTTCCAATCTTGGAGCTCCATGTGCAGGGGTGCGTTGATCCAGGGGGCGTCCGTGGGACTCGGCCTTGCTTGCCCGCTCTCTAGTCACCTGGGCCGCGAGGAGTGCGCGACCGTCTGTTTGAGTGCCCCTGCCATGGCGGGAATCGGAGCTGACCTTTGGCGCCCGCGTCGGTTGGCTTGGCTCTCTGGCGAAGGCAAGGATTGCCTAGTCTAGTTGGCCATGTTTATTTCGCGCGCTGCCCAGCTTCCGCAGCATGCCAGGTATATCATGTACTTCTTCCTCTCGAAGGAATCAGGCGGCGCCCGCCCCGTCGGCCTGCCCCTCTCCCTCGTGGGAGTGGCGGGGGGGGGGGGGCGGCTCGCTCGGGATTGTTTCGCGATTGGGGGCGCTCTGCAGAAATGGCGCGCGACTTCGGCGGCCCTGGGCGGGGGCTTCGAAGATGCCGCGCGGCGCCAGATGTCGCGCGATGAAGGGGCGCGCGAGGGGGGGGGGGCTTCGGCGACGGGGGTGCTGGATCTGTCTCGGGCTTTCGAGCACGTCGCTATTCCAGTCTCGCGGGCGGCGGCCCCAACGCTCGGTTCCCCGCGGCAACTGGCCGAGCTCCTCATCGGCATATATAACTCCACGAGGCAGGTTTCAGAGGGGTGCTTGCCCGCCGCGCGCCGCGCGCGTTTTGGCCGCGGTCGCGGGATATATGGGAGGTGCTCGCGCTCTCGCAGTGTCTATGCTGCAGGCTGCGAATGCCGTGCATCGGGCCCGGAGGTTCCGACTCCAGATGCAGTTTTTTGGGGGGGTCGATGGCCTCTTCGTCCAGGCCCGCGGCGCGCCCGAGTGTCTCTCCGCGCCCCAGGCAGCGGGCGCCTTTTATATTCGTCTGATTGAAGGTACCTGGAACACGCCTGTCTCCCGCGGCGCCCGCGGGAAAGGGTGCGTCCTCGCCGCCTCGGCCGTGGCTCGGAGGCGCCGTTCGCCCTGGGCCGGGGGCCCGGGGCTTGCCGCCGCTGCGGCCGGCGCGCAGCTGGGAGCGGGCAGCGCCCGGGGCGCGGCGGTCAGGAATCGACGCGTGATGCCGGAGTTTTTCAAGTGGGCCATCAATCGATTTATAGATATTAGGAAAGAAACCCTCGCCAAGCAGGGGGCCTGCCTGTCCCGAGATGTTCGGCGCGGAGTGATTCCGTCAGTGGCCCGCGGATCCAGTTGTCCGGATGTCTCCCCGGTCGCCCTGGCCAAGATGCGCGCCGTGGTCTCGGGGGGTCTTGGCGGCGGTGCCATGGGGCGCGACGGGGTCCTGCGGCTCTGGACTCATCGGGTGGGCCCAGTGGTTGAAGCCTCGCAGGGGCCGCTGTGCACGTGGGCCACCCAGGCGTGGCAGGGCGCCCATGAGTCGGACGTGGTTTGGGCTAGGCGCCGAGAGATGTCTCTCGAGGCGGCTTGGCGCAGCCGCCCGTTTGATCGCCCTTGGCCTTTGGGCCCAGGTTAGAGGGCCAGCCTCGGCCTGCAACCTGGCGCCCCAGCGCCCAGGGTGGCCCTGGCCACGCTGGCGCGCAATTCGGCCGCGCGCGGTAGAGCTGGTAGATATGCGCCGGGCGGCGCCCGGCACTCCCGGCAAATGTGTTTACCTTCGGCGCGAGCATCAGGAGCTCGCCGAGTGGGCTGCGCTCCGCGGCCCGCCGTTTCGCGAGCCATTTCTCGGGCCTTGTCGCACCGCTGTTCGCTCTAAATCGAGGGGTCGTTGACGCATGCAGTCCGCGATGGGCGGCGATGCTCGGGCCCGGGGCAAAGTCTGGAATGCGCGCCGCTAGGCGCAGCTGCCAGATGCGCGGGCGCGAGGTGGGGGGGCCCGCGTCGCAGTTCTTTGCCGGCGCCCAGCGTTTCGGGGGCAGCGTGCAGCTGCTGGAGAAGAGTTTCCCGAGATCGTCCATCGGGCTGCCGCCTCGCGCCCCCCCCCCCACCCCTTCTCCAGGGCCGTCGCCCCCCGCCCGTTGGGGGGCCCCTTCTTGGGCGTCGCGCCCAGCGCCGAAGCCCTTGATCCCGAGTTTGGGGGCGGCCCCCACGTGTCTGGAGTCGCCTGTTCGGGCGGATCGGGCGGGGGGGCCCTTGGGCAGAAATCGTTCGTCTGGGCTTTTGATTTTTATGATGGCCAGGGCAATGCCCGAAAAGCGATGCGCGGCGCTGCCCCGGGTGCGCGCCGGGCCCGAAGCGCTTGAAGGGATGAGCTTCGCGGTCTCCCGAGCGCGGTGCGCCGCGGCGCGGCGCCGCCCCAAGTAGAAATGGACAATGCCACCGTGGTCAGAGGCTTCCGACTTGAACCGACGCGGCGTCGACAGGCCAGACGCGCCCACGCAGACCTGTGGCGCGTGATCTGGAATGCGATCGAAGATTCTTTTCCCGGGGGGGAGGGGGTCGTCGTCGTCGTCGTCGTCGTCGTCGTCGTCGTCGTCGTCGTCGTCGTCGAGGTCCGAGTGCCTTCCGAGAAATCTGACGCCGCGCAACGTGTAGCATTGGCACCTTTGATGGCGCCGATGGCCGCGCCGAGAATGCTTCCCTCCCTCCAGGGCCCTGCCCGCGGCGCGCTGAGCCCCCCCCCCCCCCTCCCCGAGTCTCGGCATTCGCTCCAGGGGCATCGAGGCCCCTGGAGATGCATCCACGGTGTCAGGCGGGCCCGCAGCGACAGAGCGAGGGCTGCGATGCCCCGGAAATTCTGCGGCGGAGGATTTTCCTCCCATGGTCATTGGGGGGGAGTCTCGTGGTTGCCCTTTCTCGCTTCCCCATCTCGCTCGCTGCCGATCCATCTGCGGGCGATCCACTGGGGGCCTTCTGGCGTCTGCCGCCCTATCGGCCGTCGGCCGTCGTCGTCGTCGGCCTCCGTCAGAGTTCCGTCCCGCCTCGTTCTCCTTGTTCCCGCCTGTCTCCCTCCCTAATCCTCTCCTCCTGCTCCGCCCCTTGGACGCAGCCAAGCCTCGATTCTAGAGTCTTGTCTCCTCCCTTCGTTCTGAGGGGCCAAGGCATCATGGGCTGTCCCGAGCAGGCCACTGCGCATTCCGTCGGGAGCGTGGGGCTGCTTCCAGTGCTCTCGAGCGCGCGGCCTGCTCACCGGCGCGTCGTGAGGGGCCGAGTGGCGGGCAGGCGCCCCTTGGAGGAAGGAACGACAGCCTGGAGAGGTGGTTGCTCTGGCCAGGGCTGAGGAGGAGGGAGGAGGGAGGAGGGAGGAGGGAGGAGGGAGGAGGGAGGAGGGAGGAGGGAGGAGGGAGGAGGGACAGCCTGGAGAGGTGGTTGCTTTGGCCAGGGCCGAGGACTTGGCCGCGTGGCGGGCAGGCACCCTTTGGAAGAAGGAGCGACAGCCTGGAGAGGTTAAAACGACGCGAAGATCGGGACAAAATCGGATCGGGATAACTCGAGATCTCTGAGAAGCGGCGGGTTTGGAGGATGTATTGGGCGCCGCGGCCGCTCCAGAGCGTTCCGGAACGCTCTGAGAGCGCTCCGGAACGCTCTGGAGCGATTTATCCCGATCCTAGCCCTATTTTAGAGGTGGTTGCTCTGGCCAGGGCCGAGGACTTGGCAGTCCTCGAGTCCATCGGCATTGCAGTCGGGGCCTTGAAGAAGGAACCCTGTTCGTTGGGGAGGGGCTCCGCGTTCCTTGAGTGTTTCACAGCTTGCCTCAGGTTGTCCTTATGTTTTCGTTCGGGAATGGGAGTTTAACTTATGGAAGAAAGTGGCCGCGTTCCTTATTTAGGGTTCCTTAGGTTAACGCCCCGACTGTACTGCCGTCCCCATCAGCCCCCTCCGCCGCTGGAAAGCGGCGGAGGTGCTTAGTGAGGGAGTCCGCAGGTGGCCGCGAGGCACTCGCCCATCCTTGGAGCGGGGGGAAAATTCTCCCGATCGATCTCACTATCAATATCACTATCGATCTCACCATCGATCTCGCTATCGATCTAATTCTCGACGTCATTATCGATTTCACGATCGATCTCACTATCTGTTTCACTATCGATCTCGCCATCGATCTCACGACGAGACACCGGCGGGGCACCAACGGGACACCACGGCGGCACACGCGCAGCCGCCGCCCACCCACCGGGGGGGAAAACGGGTCAATTGTCCTGCCCCGCCCTAACCACAGCGGAGTCATTCCCCGCGCCCGCCCATGCAGCTTCGCCTTGCCCACACGCACGTTCAGTACTTCGAAACGAAACCGAAGCCGACTTCCCGGGGTTGGGCCTTCCGTTCCGCTTCGATTTCCCCCCAAACCTCCGATAGCATTGGACATTCGAAAGTGGATTTAGCGCAGGGCGCACGAGACTTCGGCCTTCAGCAATGTGGCCCCGCAGGGCGGCGGGCGATTCTGCTTGCGCGGTCTGAGTTGTCATGATCAATCAGATCGAGCACCCTGAAAAAACGAGGCGGACCCCCGTGGAGGCACAGTACGCCACCTTTCCGCTCCCCTTGTTTGGAGGCGCGAGGTTTCGCTGTGTGGCGGCCCGATGGCCAGGGCAAGTGGTCTTGTATCGCCCAGCTTGAAGATGTACATATTTGGCTGCAAAAACTTCAGGGCATGCCCGAGCAGCAAAATGGTATTCCATCACACTTGTGCACGGACCCAGGGCTGAGGACTCAGAACTTCAGGAGCGAGGGGCCCGATTGGGAAGCTGGAAGCAACTAGCCCGCAGCTCCCGATAATAACCCCGTGGGGATAATAGAGTTTTGGGTCCAGGGTGGAGAATAAACGTTTTCCTGGAAATCTCATCATAATGATGAAGCTGATGACGATTATGATGATCGGTATGATCTTGAACGTTCATAGGAATTGTTCAACAAAAAGAGCCATCGGGTTCCCGAGGGTATCCATAGGATTCCTTCGGAAATCCATTGAGTTGTTTAGGAAGTCCATAGGGTTCCTTGACATCCTCAAGACATCAATGTGACATCTTCAGGAATTCCGAGGGCAAGCAACAGGAGGAGGATGCGAAGGGTGAGCCCCAGGACCGGGTTTTCAAAAAAGCTTCGATTCGGAACCTGAGATTTTTTTATGTGTAAAGCTCATGTTTTAAACATAATTTTCGATAACGCCTGTGTAAGGAGTCCATGGCGGCTCATTGGCGGGAATTAAAGAAACGGGGATACAACAGTTCGGGCTGGGCGTTCAAGGAAATGGGGGAGGAGGATTCCTTAGAAATCCATGGGATCCCTTAGGACATCCATTAGTTCTTTATACATGTATATGTATCGGTATGTATATACATATAACGGCGCACCGGGTCCGGGGGCCCGGGGCCGGGACCTCGACCACAAATGTGCACCCCGGGGGCCCCGGAGGCTCGTCGGGGCTTGCCGGAGGCCTCCCTGGTCAGACAAGACGGCCCCAGAAACGCCCAAGACGGCCCAAGAAACTTCCAAGAGGCCTCCAAGAGGGCTCCGAGATGCTGAAGATGGCCTCCAGACGTCCAAGGACGCCCCCCAAGACGCCCCAAGAAGCCTCCAACATGCGTCCCAAGAGGGCCCCTAGACGCAAAAATTGGCCCATTCCCTTCGTAAAACGTACATTTTTCACAAAGTTGCCTTTTGGGCTTTCCGACATTACAGGACGGCCCAAGAGGCGCCCAAGACCGCCCCAAGACGGCCCAAGAAGCTCCCAAGAGTGCCCCAGGACAGCCCAAGAGGGCCCCAAAACGGCCCAAGAGGCGCCCAAGATGGCCCAAGAGGGCCCCAAGACGGGCCCAAGAGGGGGCCCAGAGGGGGACCACGAACCGCAAGCTCGAGCCTTCCGCCCCAAGAGGCCGCCAGGAGGCCCCCAGGAGGCCCCTCAAGAGGCCCCAGGAGACCCCAGACGTCCAAGGACGCCCCCAAGAGGCTCCAAGAAGCCTCCAACATGCGTCCCAAGAGGGCCCCTAGACGCAAGAATTGGCCCATTCCCTTCGTAAAACGTACATTTTAACAAAGTCGCCTTTTGGGCTTTCCGACGTTACAGGACGGCCCAAGAGGCGCCCAAGACCGCCCCAAGACGGCCCAAGAAGTTTCCCAGAGGGCCCCAGGACAGCCCAAGAGGGCCCCAAGACGGCCCAAGAGGCGCCCAAGATGGCCCAAGAGGGCCCCAAGACGGGCCCAAGAGGGGGCCCAGAGGGGGACCACGAACCGCAAGCTCGAGCCTTCCGCCCCAAGAGGCCGCCAGGAGGCCCCCAGGAGGCCCCTCAAGAGGCCCCAGGAGACCCCAGACGTCCAAGGACGCCCCCAAGAGGCCCCAAGAAGCCTCCAACATGCGTCCCAAGAGGGCCCCTAGACGCAAAAATTGGCCCATTCCCTTCGTAAAACGTACATTTTCAACAAAGTTGTCTTTTGGGCTTTCCGACGTTACAGGACGGCCCAAGAGGCGCCCAAGACCGCCCCAAGACGGCCCAAGAAGCTTCCAAGAGGGCCCCAGGACAGCCCAAGAGGGCCCCAAGACGGCCCAAGAGGCGCCCAAGATGGCCCAAGAGGGCCCCAAGACGGGCCCAAGAGGGGGCCCAGAGGGGGACCACGAACCGCAAGCTCGAGCCTTCCGCCCCAAGAGGCCGCCAGGAGGCCCCCAGGAGGCCCCTCAAGAGGCCCCAGGAGACCCCCAAGAGGCCCAAAGGAGGCCCAAGGACAGCCCAAGAGGGCCCCAAGACGGCCCAAGAGGCGCCCAAGATGGCCCAAGAGGGCCCCAAGACGGGCCCAAGAGGGGGCCCAGAGGGGGACCACGAACCGCAAGCTCGAGCCTTCCGCCCCAAGAGGCCGCCAGGAGGCCCCCAGGAGGCCCCTCAAGAGGCCCCAGGAGACCCCAGACGTCCAAGGACGCCCCCACTACGCTTCGCGTCACCAATTTCTTCTCACAACGATTCCTGGGTCTGTGACTCGACAGAACCTAAGCGCGCGCGAAGCGCGCGCGTGGTTCTAGTATATATATGTGTATGTTTATGTATATGTATCTGCATGCGCATATGTATATGTGTATGTGTATGTGTATATATATATATGTGCATATGTGTATGCATATGTATATGTATGTGTATGTGTATGTGTATGTGTATGTGTATATGTATATGTATATGTATATGTATATGTATATGTATATGTATATGTATATGTATATGTATATGTATATATATATATATGTATATGTATATGTTAATGCATATATATAGGTATATGTATAGGTATAGGTATATGTATAGGTATATGTATATGTATATGTATATGTGTATGTGTATGTGTATGTATATGTATGGGTATCTGTATGTGTGTATGTGTATGTGTAGGTGTATGTGTATGTGTATGTGTATGTGTATGTGTATGTGCATGCACATGTATATGTTTGTGTAAATGGATATGTCTAGACACACATATACATTTTATATATATATATACATATATATATATACATAATTCCTACCAGGACTCCTGAGGGAATCCATACACGTTCTTTTGGAATCCATACGATTCCCCGGGACATTTACAGGATTCCTTAGGAGATTCCATAGGACATCCATTGGATTCCTTGGGAAATCCATAGGGTTCCTTCGGACATCTATAGGAATCCTCAGGGCATCCATGGGATTCCTTAGGAGTCCTGGCTACTCAACATAAGAAGAAAACAACTTCGATTCGCAAATTTCCTCCGCGATAAGAGAATTCGGCCTCGCCGCCTTTCTTCCCCCACCAAAACTGTTCTGGCCGTGGACAATCAACACTCAGTACGGAAGTGGGGGGTCATTCTTATCGGGAGGTTGCGGTTATGCGGGCCGGGCCCGGTCGTGTTCCATGCTCTGGGTTCTTGTCGGGCCACGCCAGACGTGGAAAAGAGGGCCCCCCCCCTTGAGATATCCCCCCCGTGTTCTATTTCCACGGCCCTAAGCGCGCCCGCCAAGGCCCTACAGACATCTGCTTGTTTCCATCCGCTCGCGTGTCCTTTTTTGGCCCAGGCGGGCCGCCCAAAGGGGCTCCGCCGACGACGGAACATTGCGCGGTGGTGGCCAGGGCTTTCTGGTGTTTTTGCAGCGGCTCGCGCTGGGGGGGGGGCGGGGGTATCGGGCGTCACAGTGCAATATGTGTTCTATTTCCATCGGGCCGATCTCTGGTGTTTGTTCGAGCTGTCTCGCGGGGATGACATCCACGGCTGGCCAAACATCTTTGTGTATTTGGTACTAGGGTTTCACTCGGACGCGATTCTCTCTCTCTCTCTCTTTATTTTTTTTGTTCTCTCTCTCTCTCTCTATATATATATATGTATATATATATATTATAATCACTCTGTCCATTGTGTGTCCTGTCCCCAGTGTTTCCAGCTTCCTCGTCGAAAACCTAGGCTGTTCTTGTACAGTGGGCCATTACTCTAAAGTCTTGCACATGTTATAGACAATGTGGCTCCACCATGAGTTTGCCAGGACAACCTGAGCTCAATATTCAGGGCCTCGATGTGCACCATATCCCATTGCTCTGCATACTTATCCATCCGCGAGGGCATTCGCTCGTAATGTGTACGTCTCAGGCTCGCTCACGTTATCAGATTCCGCAAGGTGGGCCGTCCTTTTTGGGACTGAGGGAGTCAGCGCCGCCATCTCTGCCTCGTGCATCAAGTCACCTTCCGCATCGAAAGACATCTGAGCCTCTTCGAAGTCCGGTTCACCACCCACCATACCACCCCAACCCAACCCGAAGGCCACAAATTGACTTCCATTTCCAGTGGGGGGGGTCGGGGAACATCGAGAAAACACTAATGGAACCCATACCCCCCCCAACCCGAAATTCGGGTCTTCGGGTTGGGTTGGGGTGGTCTGGTCGGTAGTCACCTGTGGGGCCTCAGCTTCAGGCACCTCCTCCCAGAGCCCGCTGCGGTAGGGATCCTGAGGGCCCGCCTCCGCGGCGCGTGCCGGCTCCGCCACAACTTCCGACGCTCCCGAGCCTTGCCGGAGCGCCTCGCCACGCCGGGGCGTGCAGCAGGCGTCGCCGCGCCCTCTCCTCCATCTCCATCTTCTCCTCCATCTTCTCCATCCTCCTCCTCCTCCTCCTCCTCCTCCTCTCCTCCTCCTCCTCCTCCTCCTCCCTCCTCCTCCTCCCTCCTCCTCCTCCTCCTCCTCCTCCTCCTCCTCCTCCTCCTCCTCCTCCTCCTCCCTCCTCCTCCTCCTCCTCCTCCTCCTCCTCCTCCTCCTCCTCCTCCTCCTCCTCCTCCTCCTCCTCCTCCCTCCTCCTCCTCCTCCTCCTCCTCCTCCTCCTCCTCCTCCTCCTCCTCCTCCTCCTCCTCCTCCCCTCCTCCTCCCCCCCTCCGCTGGCGGCGCGCGGGGCTGGGCGCCCCCCCCCCGCAACCCCGCGCGGGGCGCCCCGGGGAGCGCGGCGGGGGAGGGCTCTGGGGCGGCCAGGGCGGCCGGAGCCCCGGGGGCGGCGAGAGAGCCTGCCGGCGTGGGGGCGGAGCGTGCCGCGCGTGTGCCCCGCGTGTGCCCCGTCCTCCTCCTCCTCCTCCTCCTCCTCCCTCCTCCTCCTCCTCCTCCTCCTCCTTTTCCTCCTTCTCCTCCTCCTCCTCCTCCTCCGCCTCCTCCGCCTCCTCCGCCTCCGCCTCCTCCGCCTCCTCCGCCGTGTGGCCTCGCTCGCGCCAGACGAGAGGGGGGGGATAAGGGAAAGGGGGGGTACAGGACTTGCTGCAGGCGTGGGAAAGGGGGGGGATTGGGAAAGGGGGGATTGGGAAAGGATTGGGAGAGGCGTGGGGCGGAGCGTGCCGCGCGTGTGCCCTGTGTGTGGCCTCGCTCGCGCCGGACGAGAGGGGGGGGATAAGGGAAAGGGGGGGGCTACAACATTTGCTGCATGCGGCCGGTTTTCGGCCCCACCGAGGGGCCCATTCCTCGATGCATCGTCGCCTCTGGCGCCGGGAGGCGCCGGGCAAGTCAGCTACGTGAGCTGATTCTCCCTCCCCCCCCCCCCTTTGCTATCCCCCCCTTTCGCCCGACCCGAATCTCGCGACGGGAACGTCCCTGCGCCAGCGGAGGGCAGTTGTGGGTGCGCGTGTGCTCTTCGCTGCGCGGCTGCGCGCGTGGCCGCGGCGCCAGAGAACAGTGTGTGTGTGTATGTATGTGTGGGTGGGTGTTGTCCAGTCTCGTCGCCCTCGCGGCTTCGGCTGCCTCAGGGGGCCCTGCGGGGAGGGGGCCGCCCGCCATGAACCCTGCCCTGAAGCGGCAGTTCGAGGCAGCGCCGGCCCCCCGCCTGGCCTCAGGCTGGCCTCAACGCCCGGACGCCTCCGCGGGGGGGGGGATGGGGAGGAGGAGAGGGGGACGACGAGGCAGGGTAAAGGGATGGGTGAGGATGGGAGGTGCATGGAGGAGGCGGAGCGGGAGGGCTGGAGGGGGATGATGACAAGGAGGAGACGACAGGAGGGGGAGGGGGGATGGGAAGGAGATGACGAGGGACTGGCTGGGCCAATGCACAGTCTGCCACGTGCAAGACTGTGCGAACAGCTGACGACGCAGCACGAGGCTCGGCTGAGCCGAGCCGCGTCGGTGGTATCCCGCTCGGACCCCTACTGGGGTGCGTTTTCACAGTGACCTCGAGGGGAACCCAGCCACGACGACGCGAAGCGCCCCGGAGGCCCACGAAGGGCGAGCAGAGTCCAGAAGCCTGGACCTCGACTCCTCGACCCTCGAGGTGGGGGAGGAGGAGGAGGAGGATCAGGAGGAAAAGAAACACACAGACACAATTAATCCTCGATTCCCCAGAAAATATGGGAAAATATGGGAAGTGGGGGGGAAGACAGAAACACAGAAAATATGGGAAGATATGGGGGATTCCTTTTTTTTGTTGCGTATGTATTTGTGTGTCCTGGGGCCCCTTCAGAGGAGGAGACGGAGCAGGAGGCCCGCGGCCACCCCGCCTGCCTCCTGGCCCACAGGGGGCGGCCTCCGAGCCGCTGCGGCGATCCCCGCGGCACCCGCCCTCCCAGGCCGCCGCCGAGGCCGATGGCCTGGTGGAGCAGCAGAAGAAGGCCACGACCCGCCGCCGCCGCCGCCGACGCCGCTGCCAAGAGGAGGAGGAGGAGCAGGAGGAGGAGGAGGAGGAGGAGGAGGAGGAGGAGGAGGAGGAGGAGGAGGAGGAGGAGGAGGGGAGGGGAGGAGGGGGAGGGGGAGGGGGGAGGAGGAGGGGAGAGGATGAGGAGGAGGAGGAGGATGAGGAGGAGGGGAGGAGGACGAGGAGGAGGGGGAGGGGAGGGGGAGGGGGACGGGGAGGGGGAGGGGGAGGGGGAGGGGGAAGGCCACCGCCGCGGCCGAGGCTGCCGCCGCCGCCGCGGACCCGGCGACCGCCGCAGACGCCTCACCTCGGGGGCGGCAGGATGAGGAGGCGCCACGAGTCGTCGGCGCCGCTGTCGCTCGGAGAGTGGTCCGGTAGGTTCGCGTCGTGTTGACCGCCGCTGGCGACCCAGAATCGGTTCATGTTGAACGATCTGACGTTCAACATGAGCGATCTTTCGGGTGCGAACGATCCCCGCGGTGTCAGAAACCAGCGCCGAAGTCGACACGACACAAGCCTGCCGTGACGCAACTGGTGCAGATGCCATTCCCGTCGTTTTCGCTCTTTTGATTCTCCTGCGGGGCCCTCGTCGCCAGAGCTGGGTTCACCTCAGAATCCCCTTCAGAACGCACCCTAAGAGAGGGCTGACGGCCTTTGGTATCGATGCGCTTGTCCAAGTGAGGCTTTCTGAGGCAAGATGGTGCCTTGTATTGTCCAGTGCCTGGCAACCCTTCATGGGTGCGGCCATCCGCGCTCCAGACCTCGCCCTCGCCTCGCCCGTCGTCGCTGCTGCTGCTGCTGCTGCTGCTGCTGTCTTCGTCGTCGTCGCAGTCGTCGTCGTCGTCGTCGTCGTCGTCGTCGTCGTCGTCGTCGTCGTCGTCGTCGTCGTCGTCGTCGTCGTCGTCTTCGGAGGAGGAGGATCGAAGTACATCTGGCGCGCACCGCTGTTGCTGCGGTAGTCCCGTTCCAGGCCCCCCTGCCCTCGAGCTGGTGCAGGCACCGCTCCTCCTCCCTGCGGCAGGCGCCCTCTGGAGGGATGCCGGGCCCATGGGCCTGCCACGGGCGCAGGACTTGGAAGGGGCTCGCACGGTGGCACAGTCGGGGCTCTGAAGAAGGAACCCTTTTCGTTGGGGAGGGGCTCCGTGTTCCTTGACTGCCTCCGAGTTTGCCTTGGGTTTTGCTTTGGTTTTCGATGGGAAGTCGAAGTCCAACTTGTGGATCTAAGGGGCCTCGTTCCTTATCTAGGGTTCCTTGGGTCAACGCTCCGACTGTACTCATCCTGTCTAGGCATCCCAGATGGGGTCAGAACAGATGGGGTCGGAAGATCGCGCCGCACCGCCGATGCATCAGAGATGGGGCTTGTCGTGGAGCCTGGTTTTGTCCACGCCGACCCCATCTACCCGGACCCCATTTGGGAGGCCTCCATAGTGGCCCAGCCAGGGCGGGGACTCAGGAAGGCTGGAAGAAGCATCCAGAGCACTTCGAGAGTCGGGGCCAGTCAGTAGGGGGGTGATGGCTAGGGGTGTGTGGACCTGGGTTTCCTGGCCCGCCTCTTCTTCGTTCAACGCATCTGCTGGCCGCCACTCGTCCGCGCACTTGCCTCGTGCCGCGATCCGTACCCCCCCCTCTGCCTGGCCCTTCTAGTCGGTGAACCCGACAGAGGAAGTGGCAGGACTGGATTGTTTAGAAGTTGGATGGCTTTGCAGTGAGCGTCAGAGACCAAACGAACATCTGATCGCTCTTCAGAGAGGAAGCGTCCTCCACCCATGTAGCTGTCAGAGGTGGCAACCTCGGGGACAAGATCACGTCAGGACCTTTGCAGGGAGCGCACGAAATTGGAGAGCAGTCGTCCATCCGTGTACCTGATGGAGATGGCACTCTCTGGACACGCCAGGACTTTTCAAGCGAGAGCACACATTAAGCAGGAACACTCCTCCATTCGTGTCGCTGTGATTGGGGTATTCGTCCTCAGAAGCATACTGCGGGAAAGTTCCAGGCAAGGGCTTGAATCGGAGAAGAAGTTAGCCTCCCTCCGTGAAGCTGTGTGGGATGCCCACGCTGTAGAAGAGCTCAATCGAGCAACATTTTAGGCGAGAGTCCGCTTTGGAAAGGAGTCGTGGTGCATCTATGTGCGCAGGATTACGTAGGAATCGGATAGGGAGGAGGAGGAGGAGGGGGAGGAGGAGGAGGAGGAGCAGGAGCAGGAGTTGGAGGAGGATGAACGAGTAATAGGAGGAGTGCTGGGTACCAGGGAGGAGAGAAGGATCTAGGAGGGGGAGGCATTATTCGCTGCACGAACGAAACGGGCAGTGTGATGGACCATGTCCCCGACTGCGCTGTATGACTGTGAAGGAAGCGTGGACTACGACAGCGGAACTGGACAGCCAGTTCCGAAGAACACAGTGCCAGATTCTGCACATGATGTTGCACGTGCTCAAGCGCCGAGATCATCAAGCCACCGCCCTAGATACGCATTCTCCTGAGAACGACGGCCTCGAGCCATTGTCGAATTAACGTCAGACGGTCCATAATACTTTGGCGGCTGCAAATCGACAAATTAGGATTCGATCCAACGCCAGAGAACATTGAGATGAGCACAGAAAGTATGCAATTAGGAGCTGCGTGTGTGATGATTGCAAGTCTGGGGGTGGGATCCCCAACAACATTCAATGTGTGGTGCGCGACGGAGACAGGGTTATGCGCAGAGTTGGTGTTCGGATGACATTCGGCACTCGCATGGCCAGACTCGACTTCCACGATCGGCTTGGCGCTGCGGTGCCCATCTACGACGCCTTTGCCACCGACAGCTGCAGGTCTGATGCCGGTGTCGATGTCCGATGATTGTTGCGTCTCTCCTGCTCTCCGCGACCTCTTCCTCTGCTTTCCTCCCGATCTGCGCGGCGGCCAGGCAAGGGGGCGCGAGATCGGCACGGTGCAGGCGATTGCCCGCGGCCCGCTGACATGCGGGAGGTGGGAGGGAGGAGGGGTGGGGGAGAAAGATGGAGGACGGGATAATCACGGCCACGACGGCGCAGGAGGACGTCAGGCCGACCTTGACGGGAAAACGAAAAGTTGAGTGGGCGCATGTGCTCATCTCCACCGCAGGAGAGGCTCATTGTCCCCACCAGCCGCTTCACGCTGTGGCCGGGTGTCAGTGGGAAGATTGTGTTTCCCGTCGGATACGGGGCGGAGGGAGGGGGGGTGCTGGAGCTGGACTCGGGGAGCCATCCACAGTCGCGATCTGCCTTGAAGGGTGTATTCTAGGTGTCTCACTCAAGTATGGTTAATGTTTCACGTGGTATCCTTACAACAGGCACGGGAACCCGCAAACCTCCAAGTTGGAAGACGTAGATCTGCCACGCGCAAGCTGCAATCAGGTCAGAATAACATAATTACACCTGAGAAAACCCAATCGGTGGATGCTTTGATAATTAGACATATTGATCTTGAGACCGATTGTGAGATCGATAATGAGATCGATAGTTGAATCGATAGTTGACGATTGTAAGGTCGATCGTGAGACCGAGAGTGAAATCGATTCAATGAGATCGATAGGGAGATCGATCGCGAGATCGCTCGTGCGATCTCTAGTGGGGTCGGTTGCGAGATCGATTGTGAGATCGGTTGTGAGACCGATGGTGAGATCGATAGAGAGGTGGGAAATGGGATCGATGCTGAGACCCATCGATAAGAAGATCGACCAGGAACCCGGGAACCTGGGAACTTCGCCGCCCACCGAAATCGGCCCGGGAACCGGGAACCCGGGAACCCGGAACCGGGAACCCGGGAACCCGGCTTGCCATCAAAATCGGCGTGAAACATTCGCCTTCTCTTTCAACATCCGCTGGGACCCCTTCGTTGCAAGCACGGATTGGGGAATATATCAATGTATTACTCCGACAGGCGAAGTGGACCTTTATAGTGAGTCAGGATACGTCGCCTTAATGGGGACGAAGATGACGAGGTAAAGGGATATGGCATCCGAGGCGCCAACCTCTTGCTGCTTGGACACACGCCTATCGGTAAGGCAGCAGTGCGTCTAATTGATGCATACTTCATATCGCATCGCTCGCAGGTGCGCCCAGCTATTCAGTTGAAACCTCATAATCTTGAGGACTGCTATCCTACCATTGTTGCGTTACTTGCGCTTAAAACTGGACCCCTAACACTTACTCAACTTAGAAACATCATTGAGTTAGGTGGTTTCAGCATTAAGGCCATCCTCACCATGCTCGTCAAGTAAGGGCTGGAAGAAGCCGTTCGAATGTACCCTGCTGGGGCACATCAGATGGATGAGACAGGTGGTGGACGGAAGTCTCGTTCATAGCGTACAATGGTGTGATACACCAGATATGACCGCTGACGGCCGTACCACGGGGCGTACCGATTGCACGCTACTGCTGCAAGTGATGGAAGGAAATCAATCCTTCAATTTTGAGGCGAAGAAATACGCGTCCTATGAAGGCAAGAAAGACACAGCGCCAACATAGGGGCGCCCTTCTCGGGGCCAGCGGACACATATGAGGACGACCACTTGAACTTAGACGTGTAGTTTTCCTTGCCCGGACATGGGCATATATACTCTCGAAATAGTCATCCTCGCTTGGCCACAGGCACAAATACTCAAAGCGTTTCGGCTACCATGGGCGCCCGGACACGGGCATTAACCTTTTTTTTAGAGGGGATATGACCGCTTGATCATATCCCCTCGCTCTGTGCACGCTTCGACGACTGGCATTTGCCCAGCCGCCCCTGTTTTAATCATCTGCGGATGGCCGCGCGGACTGGCCCGCGGCCATCCATAATTTCCTGTGGCTGGCCGTGGCAATGCGCCATGGCCGGCCTTAATAGTTTGTGTTGTTCTTCCTGCGCTTGCTTTCGCACTGCTGGGGATGTCGAAGAACAGTTTCTCTTTTATTCTTCTGCCATTCTTTACTTGACACAACTAACTAGGACTATGATCTAGCGTTCGGCCCCCCCCCCCCCGGACACTGAACGAGGTTTACGGCGGGGCTGCGCAACGAACGCTATATCCGACGCTGTCTTGGCTCAAGGCAGCCCTGTCTTATTTGCTACCTGTACCGCCGTGCGCCGCGTGTGATTTTGCCACCGGGATCGTGGCATCGGACAAAAGGCCACGTCTATCTATGATCCGCCCCTCCATCCCATGGCTTCTCTCTGACCTCTCGTCATGCTTGTCATCGAGGCGTGAGTTGCTGGGTGCTTCGACACGTCGGCAACGTTATCCTGAGAGTAGGGTTCTCAACTTATTGCCTCGTGGTCAAGCCCTGCGCCCTTGCTTTTCAGTGAGAGCTTCCCCAGTCGCGCACGCATGCTCGCATGTCTTGTTTTGTTATTCATTGCTATGTTTGTTTTGTTCTCTCTCTTTCTCTCTCTCTCTCTCTCTCTTTCTCTCTCTCTATATATATATATTCTCTCTCTCTCTCTCTCTCTTCTCTCTTCCTTTCTCTCTCTTTCTCTCTCTCTCTTTCTCTCTCTCTCTCTCTCTCTCTCCCCCCCTCGAGGTGGCATCGGAAACGAAAGGCCGTAACCCTTCGCCGCGTCTTTATTCGCAGTGGCAGGCCTAGACTGAGCAGCGTGTATTTCGTGGTTGCCTTCTTTCCCTGTCAGACATGTTGGTGGATTCGGAATACCTGGGGTCCCACCACGGTTCCACCGGATTTTTTATCGCGGTGTTGCGTAGCCGTTCATGTTTGGCATGCGCGAGCGCCCGCATGTGGAATTTTGTGATGGCCCTTTGCTGTCGGCGCCTCCTTGCTGGAGGACCGACTTGCAAATCCTTGGCGCATGGTTCGTTAACATCGCGCCATCAACATATTCTAATATTATGACCATTTCATCGAACTCTTCATTTTTCATTTTTTAGTGCTAGCGCTTTACGAGCGTCGCCCCGTGCGGCGTACATCTGCGACTTCAGTCGATGTCGCGATCGGAGGTTGGGGGGTGAGATCGCGGGGAAACAGAGACCCCCCGCCGGGCAATCGGTTGCGGTTTCGCGTTCGTGTCGTGCGTGCGGGCGAGGCGAAGCTGCGCGTGATCCTCCCGTAGCTAGGCCGAAGTAGGGGCGAAAGTCCGTTTCCCGTCCGCCGGTGGCCCGGAGGTGTCCCAGTTGGGCCGGGCGGTGTCCCGGGTGTCCCGGGTGTCCCGGGTGTCAGTAGGAGCGAAAATCCGTCTCCCGTCCGCCGGCGGCCGGGAGGTGTCCCAGTTGGGCCGGGCGGTGTCCCGGGTGTCCCTGGTGTCCCGGGCGTCCCGGCGTTAACGCATGTCGTTAATTTCATAATCCATTTGTGTTGGTTTTCTTTTCCAATCCAGCTTATCTTATCTCATCCATCTTGTCCAATCCAATCCCGCTTATCCAATCCAATCCATATTGTCCCATGTTATCTTATCCCACTCAATCCAAACCACCCAACCCAATCCATCAATTCATTTGTTTCTGCGCCTGCGGCGGGCCAATCCAGTCCAGCCTATTCTGTCCAATCAATTTCTTCCACTCCAACCCATCTATATTATCCCATCCACCTTATCCTATCCAATCCAATCCGCCCACCCAATCCATCACTTCATTTTTGTCGGCGCCTTCGGCGGGTTTTCTTATCCAATCCGGCTTATCTTATCGAATCCGTCTTGTCCAACCCAATACAGCTGATCTTATCCAATCCAATTTCTCTCGTTTTATCTTTTCCTACCGTATCCAATCCATCCAACCCAATCCATCAATCCATTTGTATCTGGCGCTGAGCTTTCGACGCACGCCGAAACAGTCGCTGCTGACCACAGCGACACGCCGAACACGCTGAGGGGCAGTTTGTCGCGCTTCCCGCCTCCGTGGTGACTGAAGTGGGGCGCGGAAAAAATGTATAAATCATCGTTGCCACCGCCATCGCTGCCGTCATCACGCCGCGCCCATCGCCCATCGTTACTGCCATCATGGTGGTGAAGGGGGGCACTGATATATACACACATATATATGTATGTATGTATGTATGTATGTATGTATGTATGTATGTATGTATGTATGTATGTATGTATGTATGTATATATATACGCATTTACATTCATACATACATATATATGTATATATTCACATACATATATACACATAGAAAACGAGAGAGAGAGAACAAACATAGTTCCGTAGCCATTTTGGCTCAAGGTGCGCCGTCGTTTGTGGCGTCGGCCCTTGCACGGTGGCGCCCGCGGCGGGGCGCCCGCGCGGCCGCTGCGATGGGGCGCGGTGGCCGCGGCGCCTTCACGGTGCGGCGCGGCGCGGCGTTGGCCACTGCGCCCAGCGCGTCCGAGGCCGCGGAGCTGATGGACAAGCTCCAGGCGGCTGCGGCGGCTGCGGCGGCTGGCGTTGCCGTGGGCGAGGCGCTGCCCCTGGCGGAGTGGCCGGCGGCGCGGCTCGCGCTTGGGGATCGCGCGCAGCGTGTGCTGGGAGCAGCGGCGGAGGAGGTGTCCCTCCTCGGCGGGGCTACCCTGGCCGCGGGGCTCGCCAGGCTGCGAGGTCGGGCGCGGCGCGTGCCGTCCGACCTCGAGCGGAGCTGCCGCGCGCTCGACGCTGCGAGCGCCCTCCTCCGCCACCCTGGCGAGGCCGAGGGCATCTGGGACCGCTTGCAGTGCTGGCTGGGGCAGGGCCCTCCCGAGCAGGGCCCCCTCGGCGATGTCCTGCCGACGGCTGAGGCTGGGGGGAGGGCTGCGCGGAGGAGCTGGAAGGCGCCTCCCCGAGCGGTTCGACGAGGGCTGGCGCGGAGGTGGGGCAGGTCAACTTCGGCGCGGAATCGTGGTGCTCTGAGGCGGCGCCGGCGGTGGAACCACCGGGGGCCGTCGACCAGACCGTGGGCGTCGTGGAGGCGGCGGTGCGCGTGGCGGCGTCGTCTGGCGCCGCCCCGCACGTGGCCGCAGCTGTCGCGAGTGCGGCGGTGGAGGCCGTCTTCCGCTTGGCGCGCTCCGTGGAGTGCGACGCCGAGCAGCAGGCGCAGCCTAAGGCGGAGGGCGTGGAGTTCCTCGATATCGGCTCGGACGTGCAGTCCGACTCGGCCTCTGCTGCGTCCGATGGGGACTGGGAGCAAGTGGGCCTCTGCTACCAGTTTTCGGCCGAGCTCAAGGAGGCGAGCGACCTGAATGAGGCGCTGGCGCAGGAGGTACTGGACCTCAAGGCGTTCGCGTGGGAATACAAGAGCGCGTTGGAGGCTCTTCGGCGGCCGGCTGGGGGCCGCTCGCGTGGTGGCGGAGATGATCTTCCACGTGCTGCTGCGCTTGCGGATCCTGGGCTGGGTACCGTAGAGCGGGACGAGCAGCTTCGGCGTGGCGATGCTCGGACTGACGTCCTCTCGGCGGACTCCATGGTCCAGGAGGCGGCGCAGTTGTCTGACAGCGAGGTCGTGGAGCTGCACGCCCGCATCGAGCTGGAGGAGCAGCTTGAGCAGGTTCACGAGGACCTCAGGGAGCTGGCGGCCAGGCGGGCGGCGCGCGAGCTCTCGCAGGCCCGCCGCAACAATGCCATCAGGACGCTGGAGGCCGAGAGGGCGGCGCTGCTGCACAGTCACCCTGAGCTGCGCGGGGTGGCCGACGAGCAGGCCCAGGTGGCGGCTGGGGCATTGGCGGTGGGCTCGGGGGCGGCTTCGGGCGGCTCGGGTGTGCGAGGCTGCGCTTTATCGTGGCTGCTGCGAGCTCTGCCCCAGGGGCAGGATCAAAAAGGGCGACAGGATCGTCTTCTGCCGTGCCCACAACACGCGCGTGTGCGCCAGCTGCGGCTTCGTGCGCTGAGCTGGGCTGTGCGTGGCTGGATTCGCCTCGGCTTCCTGGCGTGTTCGGCGCGCCTCGGAAACCCTTTGGGTTTCCTTGGTGCGGGGTGGGGGGGCGGCCCTGGTGGGCCGTCCCCGCCCCCCCCTGGCCTGGGCTCTTGGGTGGGTCGGGCCGTCCCCGCGGGGGTGGGGCGTGTGGCTTCCGAGACCCGTCTGGGTCTCGGAAGGTGCTTGCTCCTGTCGGTGCTCTGTCTTGGGTCCTCGTTGTCACTTGGGCTCGGACGGCACTGTCGGTTACTTGTCCGATGTGATGAGTGCCTGACGGCGGAGCTTGCGAGCTAGCTGTCGAGATGCCAGGCCAGCTGCTGTGAGGGCAGCATGCCTCGCGTGAGCGTGCGCGCGCCTGCGGCGTGCTCTGACGCGCCGTGGTCGCGCCTTGGGGTGCGAGAGAGAGAGAGAGAGAGAGAGAGAGAGAGAAACATAAATCAATAAAGAAAGAGAGCGAGAGAGAGAGAGAGAGAGAGAGAAAGAGAGAGAGAGAGAGAGAGAGACGCGGAAAGAAAGACATACATAAAGAGAGAAAGAGAGAGAGAGAGAGAGAGAGAAAAAGAGAGAGAGAGATAGGAAAAAAGAGAGAAAGAGAGAGCGAGAGAGAGACACGAGAGAGAGAGAGAGAGAGAAAGAAATAAAGAGAGAGATAGAGAGAGAGAGAGAGAGAAAATGAGAGAGAGAGAGAGAGATAGAGAACGCGAGAGAGAGATATATGACCTAGTATGCGATGGTTGTCTCGTGGTTGTCTTGTGATTGTCTTGATGGTTGCCTGGTGCATGTGCCGATGGTTGTTCTGCGGTTGTCCGACAACTCGTTTGTGTCGGCGCACGCGTCGGGCTTTCTCATTTTGCTTTTGATGTCGATAATGAGATCGGCAGTGCGATTCACCGATGGGTCGGTCGACGGATAGGTGGACGGTGGGATTTCACCGCCATCGCGATCATCATTGCGGTGGAGGGCGACTCAGATAGAGAGGGAGAGAGGGAGAGAGAGAGAGAGGGCGAGAGAGAAAGAGATATAGAGACACACGCACACGCACGCACAGAGAGTGCGAGAGAGACACCGAGAGACGGAGAAAGAGAGATCTGAGATCAAGGTGACGGGCTGGAGGTCACTCAGGGTTGGCATTTGATCTCAATCCCCCCCAAAAAAAACTTCATTATCGCCCGCAGGGCGGTCGTATAGGTATGCATATATTTTTTCCCCCGTCACCGTGGCGTTGTTGGCCGCGTGCGCCAATTTCGGGAGTCGGATGCTGACTACCAATTGCGTCGGATCGCGCGAAGAGTCCAGTGACAGCTCGATCCATGCGGGTGCCAGCAGAAAGTGGGCAGGTCCCCTCCTTCTTCGTACGCCCAAATTGAAAGTTATGATGAGATATATGAGCAGATATGTGAACAGCATCGGGAGGATGAGGAGGAGGAGAAGGAGGAGGACCTGCCTTTGCATACCGCGTTCTTCTTTCGAGCCGTAGCGCATGTCATGATTGCATCGTTGTCGTATTGTGCATAGCGTCACCAAACCTGTTTGTGATGGTGACCTTTGTTTGTGCATGCGATTTGCGTGCCCTTCTTCGCCTATGGCCACGCGCTCTCGTTCCAGTGTTATTACATGTTTTTCTTTCGGGTATAGCGCTTTTTCCACGCGACAGTCATTTCACGGGCCATGATTTTCGAGTGCGGGGCACGGGGGGTGACGCGATCAGATGTACGACAAGGGCAAGGGGTTTGGCTTCATCTACGATGCCGACAAGGCGCGCCTGCCGTCTCTCAGCTCGGCCCGGCGAGGGTGCTCCCCACTTTTTTGGCGCGCGGGGGCGGGGTGAGAAAAGGAGCAGGGCGGCAGGAATGGTCATGGCAGTGGCGTTATGTGTGTATGATATATATATATATACAGAGGGAAGGAGAGAGAGAGAGAGAGAGAGAGAACAAAAAAAAACACAACGAAAACAGAAACACATGAGAATAACAGAGAGAAGGAGAGACAGAGAGAGCAACAATTCAGACCATGGGTGTCCGGGCGCGCGGGCTACAAGCGCCCATTGCGCCCACCTCTTTGGCGGGAGGGGCCAGGGGCCGCGTGTAGTTTCTAGAGGTGGCTTGTAGGCCTCCTCCTGGGAGCCGTCGGGAAGACTACGTCTGGAAAGCAATGCGGGGCGTGGCGATTCGGGAGTGGCACTCCCAATCTGCACGCCCAACGGCGGAAGAAGGTCAGTTGTAGCACATTTTGGCTTGCGTGCCTTCAGCCACCGCGACCCACGGCGTGATCCATGGAACATGTTGCCAGGCGTCCTCACGGGACGCAGGAAAGGCGAGCTAGCAGCTGCTGCATTGGCGGTGAGCTTCGGGTCTCGCCTGGATGGCCTCACGGAGAGGAATTCCAGAGGACAGAGGCGGTGGAGACGCCGAGAGGGTGGCATCCCCGGCGGACTGGGCTTGGTGGCGCCGTGCGTTGAGAGGCCCCAGCTGTTCTTGGGCGCGACGCAGCATGTGTACGAGGCGCATGGCTCGCTCAAGGAGCTGGCCCTGGTGGCTCGTCTGGGAGTCTTCGGTGGTAGTCGGCGGACGCTCGGACGGAGAGTCGCGAGGAGCAACAGTAGGATGAGTGGCTGAAGCATGGGCCTGGTGGCTCCCGTGGCTGATATCCGTGGGAGTCGGCGGACGCTCAGAGGAAGGGTCGCGACTGACTACGGCATGGGCAACGACATGGGGGCTAGTTACAGTTTCGTCCTCGTGTACGCCGTGGCACAGTTCAATTTCGTAGAGCTGGATACCGCAATGGCATTCGAGGGCGTGGTTATGGTCGCCGTGGTGCGGCTCAACTCCGTAGAGCTAGAAACGGACAAAGTGCTGGAGTACGTCTTGATGAGCACGGTGGTGCTGCTCGCCTCCGCAAAGCTGGATGTTGTCGTCCTCCCGGGCATCGTGGTGGGCACCATCCGACATGGCCGTCGGGGGCGTCCTGGTTGACGCCATGGTATCGTTCGGTTCTGTAGAGCCAGCCGGCAATATTGGAACTCGAGCCGAATGCGTCATGGACGCTGTGGTACAGTTCGTTTCCGTAGAGTTGGACGGGAACGTCGTGCTTGAGTACGCGGTGGTGGGTGCCACGGTGTTGCTCGCCTCCGTAGTGCTGGATGCCGCCGTAGTGCACAAGTGCGCCAGAGCGGACACCGTGATGCTGCGCGTCGGGCCTGGTGGCCCCGGTGTCGCCGTGGCGTCACCGTCGCAGTCTGGAGTACGGACTGCCTCTAATTGCTCCAGCGACGACGACGACCACGACCACGACAACGACCACGACGACGGCGACGATCACGACCACGACCGCGACCACGACCAGGACCAGGACCACGACGACGACGACGACGACGACGGGGCAGGAGGAGGACGAGGAGATGGAGGAGGAGGAGGAGGAGGAAGAGGAGGAGTGGCCGCTTTGGCGGTGCGCGTCGGGCCTGATGGCCCCAATGTCGCCGCGGCTACTTACGCAGGACGAAAGATTTTCCTCTTGAGGTGAAGATGGCCACGAAGAGTTCGCGAGACAACGTCGGCGCCGCCGAACGGACGGCGACCGGACGAGCTGTTTGCAGCAACCGGGGGGGGGGAGGGATGTAGGTATTCATGTTGAATGGGGCCCGCTCGCGCGGGGAGTTGATGGGAGTGCGCGAGACGACGCAGGGCCCATCGTGAAAAGTTGATTACCGAACCCCCCTCCCCCATAGAATCTTAACACGGGCGGTTTGCGGGGTCCGCGGATCCGATTTCTTCCGGTCTCCTGGTTTAATCTAAAAATATAAATTTAAAACAGGGTAGACATCGGATCCGCCGTAAAAAATGAGACTGGACACGGATCCAACTAATCCGAAATCGGATCCGTGCGGACGGAAATCGCATCCACCGAAACAAACACCAAAACCACATTTGGATCCGCGCGAGCTTCATGAGATCCGACGGCGGTTATCTCACACGGGTCTGCTGAAGACTTCACACCGTCGTTCCGGGCCCAAGAGGAAAAAACTTTCGTCCTGGGGATGTATGCCTTGGCAGTTCTGGGTTGCGACGGGTTCCGGCTGCGCCCGACGGCAGCGACGGCGGCGACGCACCTGGAGCGGCGCACGGAGCAGTGCGTGGAGTGGCCCATGGCGTGGCACGTGGCGCTGCTCGTGGAGTGACTGTCCGGGAGGCTGGCCGTCGGCCCCTGCTTGCCAGACACCGCGCACGCGGGCCCTGGTGGGCTGGGGCCCCCCGGGCCCGTGTCAGAGAAGGACCGCGGCCTCGCTGAACGCAGGAGCTCGAGAGGTGGCCCGTGGATCGGTGCGCGGAGTAGCCCAGGGAGTGCCGCGTGGAACGGCGCTCGGAGTGGCCCATGGAGCGGCGCGTGGGATGGTATGTGGATGGGCGAGTGGCGCGGCTCATGGAGCGGCTGTCCAGGAGGATGGCCATCGGTCACTCGTTGCCAATGCCGGTGCGCGTTGCCCCTGGTGGTCGGGCCCTCTTGGCCTGCGCCGGAGGAGCGCTGGCGCCGCGGCCGCGGGCATGCGGGCCGCCGCGAGGACGAGCAAGTCAAAACGCGGGCTCGCGAGAGCCAAGATAGAGAGATCGTTGTGGCGCCGCTGCGGGGGGCGCGGATGGCCCTTCACCACCCACCAAGCCACCCCAACCCAACCCGAAGGCCTCAGTTTGCCCTCCATTTCCAGTGGGGGGGGTCGGGGAACATCGGAAAAACACATATGGAGTCCATACCCCCCCCAACCCGAAATTCGGATCTTCGGGTTGGGTTGGCGTGGTCTGGTAGGTAGCCAGACCTCGACAGCGGTGCAGGGCTCTGCGGTCCGTGGGCGGATGTGTCGAAAGGAACGCGCGAGCCAAGGCGAGCTGCGGCCGTCGAGCACCTTGCGGCAGGAAGGATACAAATGCAATGCGTAACGTGCCAAGCGCCCTGGGGGAGCCCGGTGCCCCCTGGCGCAGAGGCGTAGAAGAAGGGGGCAGGGGCCGGGGGGGCGGATCCAGCTCGCGCAGTGGTCAGCGCCGCGGGGCGGTGGCTCATAGATGTGATCGGTTTCCCCAGACGCGCAGCGGTCCGCAGTGCGTGGGCGGCCATGCCGCAGGGATCGTATGTGGTCCTTCTCGAAGTCGCACTCGGGGATGATGCCAGGTGTGGGCATGCTGTCCTGCGAGTCATTCAGGCCAGCTTGGGCCGTCTCGACGCCCTCTTGGGCCGTCTCGGGAGTCTTGGGCCGTCTTTGGGCCCTCCTTTCCGTCTGGGGTGTCAGTCCTTTTTTGGCCGTTGAGGGGCTCTCTGAGGCTGTCTTGGATCCGTCCAGACGCCCTCCTGGGCCAGCTTGGGCCTCTCTTGAGGCCGTCAACGGCCCCCTTTGGCTGTCTCGAGGCCATCTTGGAGGATGCGTGTGCCATTTGGGGACCTTTGAGGTCTCTAGGGCCGTCTGGAGCTGAAGGAAGCCTGAACAGGTGAAGGCACCAACATGTTTCAAAACCGTACACATCAACGTTTTTGGCCTTTTCGGGCCTTACCAGGGGTCTTCCTCCGGTGGCCCTCTCAGGTCATCTTGGTAGCCTTGGTTGACTACCTAAGCCGTCGTGCAAGCTCGGGAGCGCATATCCATAGTTTTTTAATCGGGGACCATGGCCTCGGAAGCGCGGATCCATGTTTTTACAAGGGATCGTGGCCGCGGGAGTGGTGCATAGTTCTTTAACGAGGGATCGTGACCTCGGGAGCGCAGCTGCATTGTTTTTGTTGCGAGGAATCGTGCCCTCGGGGGCGCGACATGGTTTGTCTTGCGAAACAAAGGGTAGCGACGGGGCGGCGCATGCCCCTGAGCGCTGCGAGAGGGGGGTGGGCGCCTCGAAGATGACAGGCACCCTGCCAGGAAGCCGTTGGCATCTACCGCGCATGAACTTGCCAGGGGGCACGGTGGCAGACGGTGCCCTGCACGGTGCCAGGCGGCGAGCCGCAGCGAAAGCAAGCCTTTGTGGAGCTGCTGCCGCCCCAGCACGGCGGGCTTGGGCTCGGGGACGGGCCTCCTCGGCCTCGCCTGGACCGCCGCCCGCCCCTCCCCTGAGAGGAGAAGCTCTTCGTCCACCAGTCGCAGATCGTCTCCGCCGGGTTCCGCCGGCTGGAGGAGGGGCAGAAGGCCACCGCGGCCGGGCGAGCTGGGGGTGCACTGAGATTGCAGATCCTTGTCGTCTGCTTTGCTCTGCACTCCTCCCTCGCATCCTTTCCTCCTTGATCAGGAGGGGAAGAAACGCAGACACAATTAATCGGCGATTCCCAGAAAATATAGGAACATATGGGAAGTGGGGGGAAGACAAGCACCCAGAAAATATGGGAAAATATGGGGGATATAATTTCTATGTGTGTCTATTTATTTGTGTGTCCCAGTTCCCCTTAACTTGACTCCTTCCCTGCCCGCCCCCGCTCCACCTGCTCGCCTGATCCGTCACGCCGTGCGACTTGAAAGCCTGGCTCATCTGTTGTGCCTTAGCATGCTTGTGCACACTGCGCCTAGGACGCTAGAGAGCCAGGGCTTCTCACCAGACATCATCATCCTTGCTGGCCGTGCGTTCTTCCTTGTTGTTATCGTACCACGCCGTGGGTCAAGATGTATTGCGACGGCCTTACGGCTGGTGCCGCCGACCCTGAAGGGGAACGACGACGACAACGGCGGCGGCGGCGACGACGACGACGACGCTGACGTGGGCCAGAGGGATGCTTCCTGGGGTCTCTTCGGAAGGCTCTCGGGGGCCTCTGGAGAGGAATTCGGGGGCCTCTTGGGAGCCTCTTGGGGGCCTCTTGGGAGCCTTTTGGGGCCTCTGCGGGCTTCCTGGGGTCCTCGTGTGGGCCTTCTCGTGCCTCTTAACGTCTTGGGGCCTCCTGGGAGCCTCTCGGGGCCGAGGTCGACATGTCCGCTCGGGCCCCTCGTCTGGGTACGCTCTTGGAGCCGTCTTGGGGGCCTGTTGGGCCGTCTTGGAGGCATTGTGGGATGTCTTGGGGTCCCGGGTCCTCTTGGGCTGCTTGGGGACCTTCTTGGAGGCCTCATGGGCCGTCTTGGGGAGATTTTGGGGGCCTCTTGGACAATCTTGGAGCGGCATGGAGAGGAAAAGTCGAGAACGCCCAAATCTTTTAAAAGCCAAAGGGGGATCAATGAATTGCCTCGTGGGGCCCTTCTTGGGAGTGCTCTTGGAGGATTCTTGGGGCGTCTTGGCGGCCTCCTGGGCAGTCTGGACGGTGTGAAGGCGTTTTGGACCGACAGTTTGGCGATTGGGGGCTCTCTGGGACCGTCTCGGGGGCCTCTTGGGGCACTCGCGGTCTGCCTTGGCACTTTCTGAGGCCCTGGGATCTCCAGAGGGGGGTGCGTATCTGACCCCCTCTCCCCCCTCCCCGAGACCCTCCCTTACCCCCCCCTGCCCCCCAGACGACGACTAACAGAGACGACGACTCTAACAGACAAGCCCCTCACACATGCCGACAGTGTCGGCGGATTTAAACTATATCTTGCGCCGTGCTCATTTGACCCATCCTGCGAATGTGAACTCACATTTTGACGAAGTTATATAGAGCCAGCAAACTGATAATGCTGATGGCATCGTTTCGACCTTGGTCCCAGCTGCTGGTGAGCTTTGCCATGGGCTTGTGGCCCTGGTGTTGATGTGTGCGTGTGTGTGTGTGATTTCCACCAGGGGTGCTTTCGGTTCTTCCATGCTCCTCTGCGTGACGCCCAGTGCACCACTTGTAAGGATGCCGCCTTGCCGATCAAGACGCAGTGTGCCGTGACGGACCTTGGACCGTCGCGAGTGATGGCCAATGTCAAGTTTGGCGACGTTCGGCTCATTGCAAGGCTAAGAAAAATTGCGTGCTTCTGTCGTCTGGTTGAGCGTACCTCTAAGCTGCATAAGCCTTGGGTCTTGGCTGTGGGGTCTTGGGGACACCAATCTCTAGGCCTCTCGCCTGGACAGGTGTAGACCACCAGGTTCCAGGCGGCCTGGAGCTCTGGGTAGCAGCAGCGAGAGGTGTTATCCTGTCAGCCTCGTGCTCGGCGTCCTCCCCTGAATGCTCGTGCTGGCCCTCTCGCTAGGCGGCGACAGGGCGAACCGACCCTCGGCGCCCGTCCTTCTCGGACCGCGCAGTGCGCATCAGAACAGGCTGGGCGTCAAGGGTGAGGCCTAGTGTTGTCCAGTGCAATCGATGTTCCAGGGATTTCGCCAGGAAAGGCTCTCTCTCTCTCTCGTTTGTGGCCAGGCCTCGGCAGAGCCCGTGGTGATTCAGGCCTGTGCTGTGCTCACCTCCGGCGGCAGTTCGGGGACCTTTCGGGTCTTGCGCTCCCGCCTGCCTTGTGGGGCAAGAGTGGTCATCCTATGGCTGCTCACTGTCGCCCATCGCACATGCTGGAGGTGAAGCAAGGCATTGTATGTGGTGTGGATTCCGAGGCGTTCTGCGTGACAACCACCGCAATCTTTCGTGCCAACTCCCATGGTCAGAGGGCTGGAAGCCCTATCCAGAATGTGGGGGGTCTATCCCCCAAGTTTGGGATGACCTTCGCTGAACGAGGGTGATGGACTGTGAAGTGGATATGCGCGACCCGGCTAGCACTTGGAATCATGGAATACGCCATTGCGTCACAGCATACATGTAGATGTATGTGTATAGATATGTGCATGTGTATATGTTTCCGCATATATATGCATGTGTATGCGACATATGTATGTCTGTATGCATGCATGCATGCATGCATGCATGCATGCATGTATGTATGTATGTATGTATGTATGTATGTATGTATGTATGTATGCATGTGTATACGTCTATATGTATGTCTGTCTGTCTGTCTGCCTGCCTGCCTGCCTGCCCAATGTCTGTCTGTCTGTCTGTCTGTCTGTCTGTCTGTCTGTCTGTCTGTCTGTCTGTCTGTCTGTCTGTGCATGCATGCATGCATGCATGCATGCATGCATGCATGCATGCATGCATGTATGTATGTATGTATGTATGTATGTATGTATGTATGTATGTATGTATGTATGTATGTATGTATGTATGTATGTATGTGCATATATATATATATATACACATATATACATATGTATATAAGCCCCTTCGGCCTCTTTAGCCCCTTACCCCCTCCCCCCCTCTCCCCTTTCCCCCTGCCCCCCCCCCCCTTTCCTAGGCCCCTCCCCCCCCACCGGGGGCTCCCCTCCCCTCCCGGTGCCCCTTCCCAGGCCCCTTCTCCCCCTTCACCCCCTTCCTCGGCCCCTTTCCCCCTCCCCCCCGTCCTAAGTCTCCTCCTGGGCCCCTCCTCTCCGCCAGCTCAGGCCCCCGGGCGGGAGGCCGCGGCCGCTCGCCGACACCCCCCGCGCCCCCCACCACTCCCTCGCGGGCCGCCCGCGGCGAGGTCTCCTTCCTGCGGGGCGAGAACCGCGGCAAGCCCTGGGCCGAGGACCAGGGGACCCAGACCCCCTCGGGTCGTGAAAAAATCACGACGGGAGGTTTTTCGCTATTTTCGGCCCCCGGGGGCCCTTACCGGGCCTCGGGACCGTCAAAAAACGACTCGGGATGAAAAACCGGTTCCGGGGAAGGGGTCCGGACCTCTGGGGGGCGCGTCATGAAAAAATCATGACGTCGGTGGTCTGGGGAGGGAGGTTAGCTGGTTGGCTTGTTGGTTGGTTGGTTGGTTGGTTGGACCTTAGTGGGCCCTGGCAACGACAGGGCCGTTTTTGCTACCGGTTCCGTTTTGTCGTTTCTGTTGCCGGTTCCGACGCCGTTTTTTTTTTACCGGTTCCGTCGCCGTTTTTTGACCGGTTCCGGCTCCGGTTCCAATCCCGGAGCCGTTTTTTTGTCGCTTCCGGTCGCCGTTTTTTTTGTTGCCGTTTCCAATTTCAAGGTGGAAGCGGTGAAACAACGGCCCTGCCGTTTCGGGGGCCCACAAAGGGTTGGACCCTTCCGGATCTAGTTTGAGTATGTGGGCGCGGCCTCTTTAGTACGTTTGCCAGGAGGAAGGCGACCCAGGGAGACCCTGTCCTGGCCCAGCTCCGGCCGCCGCGGAAAGGCTGGAAGGGGAGGAAGAGCACTCGAGGGTCTCCACGTCGATCGGCCTCGCAGCGACCCCAGAGAGATCGCCCCAGAACGGAACTCTGGGATGGCTGCCGAGAAACGCGGACCTCGGCTGGCTCCTGGAGGACGCTTCGAGGATCTGGAGGACGCCCCAGCTGGACTCGGGGACCCAGGCCAGCTCCATGGCCGTCGCCCAGCCCGCAGAGGCAGGCACCCGGAGGACCCCACGAGAAGCCCAGGCACGACACCTCCTCTACAGTCGGGGCCCTGAAGAAGGACTGGAACCCTTCTCGTTGGGGAGGGGCTCCGCGTTCCTTATGTGTTTCGCAGCTTACCTGAGGTTTTCCTTATGTTTTCGATGTTTTCGATCGGAAATCGAAGTTTAACTTATGGAAAAAAGGGGCCTCGTTCCTTATGTTGGGTCCCTTAGGTCAACGCCTCGACTCTAGAGGGGCCAGGGGCGCAGCGCCAGCCTCCCAGAGCAGGCGCCGGCGGCCGCAGCTCGGAGCCCCCGGGGGGGCGGGGAGGCTCCGCGCGAGGGCCCGCGGAGCTCTCGACGCCTGGGGGCCTCGCGCTGGGTGCCGGCTCGCCGCGCGGCGAGGCACGGCGCAGGCCCCAGCCTGCACGAGGAACCATATTCGAGGCCCTCCCACCTCCTCCTCCTCCTCCTCCTCCTCCTCCTCCTCCTTCTCTTCCTCCTTCCTCCTCCTCCCTCCTCCCCCTCCTCCTCCTCCTCCTCCTCCTCCTCCTCCTCCTCCTCCTCCTTCTCCTTTTTGGCGAGCCGACGGTCTGTGAGACAATTCTGTTTGACAGTTCCGCGTCGCGTGGACGTACGCGAGGCGAGCCGACAGTCTGTTAGACAATTCTGTTTGACAGTTCCGCGTCGTGTGAGCGTTTGTTTCACGCGTGTGTGCTGAACTTGGCATGCATGTAAACCCAAAAACAAACAAACAAACAAACAAACAAACGAGGCCCTCCCACGGGGGCGCCGACGACCGCGACATTGCCCTTCCCGCGCCCCACGACCCTACTACCAGGGGCGACGACGACGACGACGACGACGACGACGACGGCAGGGGAGTGGAGGGGGGCCAGAGGTGGTGGAGGAGGAGAGGACGATAAGGGAGGGGTGAGAAGGCTGGGGAGGAAGGAGAGGGCAGTGTAATGACATGCGTCGCCCATGTGATGCTATTCGTGGTTTTTTTTCCGTAGCCGTCTGGGCTCAAACCTTGCTGTGATCATTGCGCAGGCCACACGACACAGGGTGGCAAATTAGTCAGGCCCTCGGCTACGTCACGCCGATCTTTTTACTCACCCGCTCGCTGTTCTCGTCGCCTAATGCTTTGTACCAGTTCATGCACGAGAGCTGTGGCCGCAAGAGGCGGCTCTGGAAGTCAGCAGCGCAGGAGTGCAGACGGAGTAGCGTCTTACTGCCGCTCGCTTGGGCGGACTTGAGAATGCCGTGGGTATCGCAAGTAGAAGTCACGGGTGCCTCACTCTCAGGATATGCTGTTGGGAAGTGGCAATGGAATGTGGCGTATGTGATCGAGGGTGGCACAGCGAGAGAGAGGTTTCGTTATCGTCCTGCAGTTCCCTCAGTCGTCCCACGACGTGCAGCTCTTGGCCCCTTGGACCCCTTCATTGACCTCGGGACGGTGACGCCCATAGTGGTCCGCTTCGAGCCCTCGCCATACGAGCCCAATTTCCTTTTTCAAAGAGATCCCCGAGGGCCTCCTGGTGGGCCCAATGTGGAAGAGTAGCTATGCCGCTCCGTTTCTTTTCCAGGAGAGTATTGGGGACTGGGAGTCAAAGGCTACTTTGTCTTGTATCACGCGCACCCTTAGGACGTCTGTTGGTTTTCGATCGCATCACCTTTATCTTGGAGACAATTTGGGGAACGTTTCGGGTCAGGAGAAGGGCCGCATGAAGAGCTTCACCCGCCTGGTTCGCTGTAGTAGGATTTGTGCCCTGGAACTCGCCACCTTGTCGCTCATTCATCATCGTTGGATTCCCTCGGAAAGAAGCCTGGTCGACAAGGGTTCGCGCCTCTGGGAGCACCTGAGGCTCAAGCATGGGGAGGGGCCTCGAGCCCCAAGGCGTGGGACGTTTGCCCGCTGCCCTGAACCAGAGGCTTCATCCCCGTCGTGCAGACCACCTCCTGGACTTCCAGAGCCAGACGCGCGGGTATGTGAGCCTGCCCGCGCGGCGAGGCCCTCAGACTGCGCCTTCGCGTGTCCCGGGGACAGCTTCGACCACGGTAGCGCGCGCGCTGGGAGCCAGAGAGAAGGAGCGCTTGGCACGGGGTGTTCCAAACAAGGATTCCAGGGCAAGGCTGAGACGGGAGCTCGTCGGTTCGATTGGCATCGCAGCCTCAGGCAGCTCCCCAGCGCATGTGGAGACCTTCCTGGAGGCGAACGCGGTATCCGAGAGGACGCGCACGATGTATGTCAAAAAGGTTGCCGACTTCGAGAGCTGGGCGAGCGCCTTGGGCCTGCCGCTCACCTCGGCCAATCTCGTCGATTGCGCCATGGCGGACTACCCGAACCAGTTGTGGATCGAGGGAGTAGACATCGGGGAGGCCACAGGCACGCACGCTGCGTGGGTTGAGTTTAGGTCGTCCTTCTCGAAGAAGGGCCCCCGCCAGCTGGTCCGTACCATGAAGGCGATGCAGGGGTTCAACAGGCAGGATCCTGGCCGAGCTCGACCTCCGCCCCCCGTGGCCTTCGCGGCGCTGATCGCCGCGGAGCTGCTGGGCATAAACCTCTTCGGTGTGGCCCTAGCTGTCTTAGCGATGTTCTCCGCCTACTTGAGGCCGGTTGAGCTCCTGTCACTGCAGATCTCCGACGTGCTGGCCCCGACTCAAGGCAGCCCGTTCCACGCCGTCCACCTGCGCCGAGCGGAACGGAGACAGCCAAGGAAGGTCGGCCTTTACGATGAGACGCTGTTGCTGGGCTCCTCTGCCCCCCCCCGTTCCTGCGGTGCATGCTGGGCGCGCGCCGGGTCGCGGCTGCAGGGCCAGCGCTGTTCGACTTCGACTACCAGAGCTTGAAAGAGAGTTCCAAGTGCGCGGGCCAGAGATGCGGGCTATCATCGACAAGGCCCGACCTCTACCAGCTCAGGCACGGCGGCCCCTCCCACGACATCTTGAATCGCCTTCGGTCGAAGGCAGAGGTCAAGGGCCGCGGCAGGGGCCGCTGGGGGGGCGACGGGTCAGTGAGGCGGTGCGAAGCTCACGGGGCGCTGCTGCTGCAGGAGAAGCTCGTCTCAGAGGAGACACAGAGCCGAGCCAGTCGTTGCCTTCATAACCTAGAGGCAAGGCTCCTGTCACACATGCCGCCGCCAACCCGTGCCGCGCTCTCTTCAAAGACAAGACAGTCGTCGAGTTGTTCAGCGGGGAAGCGGGCTGTTCGCGCTCCGTCTTTCGGGAAGGTGTCGATGCGGAAGCTTGGGGCCTGGCCGATGGCCTGGGCGCAGACATCCTGCAGTCGCGGAACCGACGGAGGCTTGCGACAGATTTCAAGAATGGCAAGTCTATTGCCTGACTAGCTGCCCTCCCATGCCAGACTTGGACACGTGCTCGTAAGAATGATGGTAGAGGTCCTGGGCCGCTCAGAGACGACGGCCGATGCCTCTGGGGACTTCCAAACCTATCAGAACGAGGCCAGGCTAGGCTGTCTTTGGGAAGCAGGCTGTGGACTACCACTCTCATATCATATGCAAGCTGGCTGCTCTTGGGATTTCAATCGTACTAGAGATCCGGCTAACGTCTCGCATTTGGCTCACGAAGCAAACGAAATATTTTGAACGCAAATTTTTGGGGCGTATCTGGCAGATTCACTACTGTCAATCTGGCACCCAATGGAAACTAACCACGGGCTTCTTGGTCATCAATATGGGCCCCTTCTTGGACCTCCGTAGGTGCGCGGGGGCTGGGGGCAGATGTTCAGCTACTGGGCACAGCCATCTTCATCTCGCAAGAACGCTGAAGGTCACTGGCGAGCTAGAAGGGCCCAGGCCTATCCCGCTCCCCTCTGTGTCGCTCTGGCCCAGGCTGTGCTGTCTCATCTGACCGCGCGGTATCTGAGGGCCCCTACAGACGCCATGCTCTTGTGATTTGAGTGTCGTTTTTTTTGCAGCCCGCTACGCCCCGCCCCCCCCCCCAGCAGAGTTGAAACTCAAGAACTGAGGCTCAGGCTATGTCTGAGGGTCTTTGAAACTCTCACCCCGGATCGGCGGATTTTCGTGATCGATGATCTCTTGACGCGTTGGTTCGTTTGGGTTGAAAGGTTGTGGTGAGACCCGAACTTCGTCGGAGACGTGGGGGGATCCGGAATCAGGTTCCGGAGGTGGAACATCACATTCTGGACGGTTTGCCCAATCTTCTTGGTCGTCCACCCGCGCGAGTGCTGTCGGAGACGAGGATGTTCCTCAGACGCGATGAAATGTCGAAGGTTCGTCCGGATGCCCTTGGGCAATGCCGGTGTTGCTTTCTACATCCATGTTGCCATCAGCGGCAGTTGGGTCAAGGTTCTTATCAATAGTTGGGCTGCACGCAGAGCGGAATGTGAAATTTTAGACGCTTCGCGTATCCCCACCAGCCCTCCAAAAACAATGCTCAGGAAAGCTGACGGAAAAAGGGGAGAAGAACTGCACATAGTGAACCAGAGCGGGCAAGAACGGTGAATTGGGATATCCTTTGTGGCGAAGGTTGCAAGTGTTACTGCTGGTGCTCTTGCTCCTGCTGGTACTGCTGCTGTTGCTGCTGCTAGTGCTGCTGCTAGTGCTGCTGCTGTTGCTGCTGATGGTGCTGGTTCTCGGATGATGAGTCGGCGGATACAGGGGGAGGAGAAGGAGGAGGAGGAGGAGGAGGAGGAGGAGGAGGAGGAGGAGGAGATTGACAATGGGGAAGGAGGAGGAGGAAACATGACGAACATAAGATCCTCTTAGGATGTCTCTTGGGAGTCGTTTTGGAAACCTCTTGGACCGTCTGGGGGGGATCTTGGGGGCCTCGAGGATCCTCTTGAAGCCTATTCGGGGTCTCTTGGAGGTCTCCTGAATGCCTCTCGGAGCCCTTTGGGATATCTCTTGGGCGTTTTTTTGGAGGCCTCTTGGGACGTCTTGGGGGTCCCTTGGCGGTCCTGAGGGACTCTTGGGCATCTTGGGTGCCTTGGGGAGGCCTCTTGGGGCCGCTTGGGGTCCTCTTGGTGGTCTCTTGGGGGCCTCCTGGGGCCATCTTGGGGCCATCTTGGGGCTATCTTGGGGCCTCTTGGGGCCTCCTGGGCGCCTCTTGGGGCCATCTTGGAGGACATCGATCAAAGACGGGGGGTTCCCCAATTACGGTCCCCCGTCAGGAGGCCAACATGGAGCCAAAACCTTAGTAAAACCAGTGATTTTGGCTTCTTCGCCGAGGCCGTTTTGGACGTTCCAACGCGTCGCGAAACCCCCCGTCCAGGTCCAGGGGAGGGGGTAGGGGGAGGGGTGAACCCCTCCCCGAAGGGGAAGTAGGAGGGGTAACAGAGGAAACACTCTAGACCACCTACGCCCAAAGGGCTGGTGGGATTACATGTTTGCCATTTGGAGGGTCTTACGCCTGTCCCGGCTGCCGCCAGCCAGAGAACTCGGGAAGCGCCGCCTGAGCCCCCAGAGCCACCATCGATGGCAGACAGGGGTGCCGCTTTTTATTTGGAACCTGGGTGCAACATCTTACACTCCATGACGTACGTATTATTCTTCCTGTCGAAGTGTGTCTTGCTACGCGTGCTGATGCCGTAAACGAAACCTCCTGTTTTGGAAAACACAACCAGTTTGTCCTGATCACAACTGTTTGACACAGACAACAAAGGATTCCGAACACTTGCTACACGAGTTTGCAATGAAAACAGATAGGTGTTTTCGTCGAGGGCCTTCAGTTTCCGGCTCTCTTCGTCAGGAATCTTCGTGCCACATGCGCTCTTGTAGTCCTGGCTGTTTGGTGGGCCATGGTATCCTTTCACTTTGCCGTACACAGAAGCAAACCTACACGGAATTATTGGCACACACGCTCCGGAATCTATGTTTGCTTTCAACGTTCCGAGGAATTGCGTTTTAGGGCGCATTAGTTCGGGGTGTTCCGGCGCAAGTGGTTCGATGCACAAATTATTGTTGTCGTTTGAGAGATTTGGAAATGCTCAGTGCCAGAACGAGCTGAATGAGCAGAGCCAGACTTTCACTGGGGCATCTTTCGGCTTGGCCGTCTCTGGGGGATTGGCCGTCAATTCCAACTTTTTTGCTGAGTGCCTCGTCCACAAATCGTAATCGAAGAAGCTCTGGTTGGTAGACGCCGTGTGCGGAGCCGAATTCGGATTGTCCAGCGCCGCCAGAACCAAACCGGCGAATTCGATTTCGTCCGCCTGCGGCTCAGGCTCACCTACAAGTTCTTCACAAATCGCGTACGAAATGCCGATTTGCAGCTCGTGCGCGGAACGAGGCTGCCTATTACGACAGTGTTTTGCTTTGTGTCTCCACTTTCCGCATGAGTTGCAGTAGCCACTGAGCCGGGCATTATTGTTCCAAGGGCCGGATGATGGCTCAGAAGAGCTAGAGCCTCTGTTGTTTGTTGCGTTGCCGGTCCAAGTCCACGAGTTTCCTGGCTGCTTGTTTTGCCCGTTTGGCCTCTTTCCGCCAGCGCCGCCTGAATTTGTGGCGCCGCCGTAGCTTTTGTCGCCTCCCTGGCCTTTCCCGAAGCCCTTTTTGCCGTCGATGTTTCTTACCCCTTTGCTGTCTCCTTTACCTCCACCTTTACCGCCCTTGCTGGTGCCCTTCCATCAGCAATTCTCGCTCGAGTGCCCCTTGCCGCCGCAGTGGGAGCATTTGCCTTTGGGGTCCTTACCGCCTCTATTACTGAAAGCGCTCAGATCCATCCTGTCTTGGTTCGCAGAAGAAGAACTCTTACTCTCAAGATGATAATCGTTAGCGTGACGGATCAGGGCGTATATTGCGTATGAATCTGCACTAACATACAAATTGGTCCTGCAATTTACCAGGGCACATTCTAATCAAAACGAACGATTTGATGTCATCGTGAAACGGTTTCGACCCTGTTATGTTTTCGTGTTCGCTTACTTGTTTTTTCCCATCTCTCGATCGAGGAACAGAGCTGGAAAAATTGAGCCTGCGCCGGTGTCATCAAAGAGCGAATGATTTTGCGACGTCTCCGGGCTGATTGTGGGTCGAACTCTTTCACAAGCTTGCGCCAGGCTGCACAACCGGAACCTTCATCCATATTCTTCACAATGTCTAGTGCAGAAACCTCTTTTAACGAAGGTAAAGGTGTGTAAATGTCATTGCTCATGCTTTTTACTTCTGCTTCTGATGCGCTGACAGGGGAAAAACCTAGATCGTCCGTCGTTTTGATGTCTATCGCATGCGAGGCTGACCAAACACAAACTGTACTTAGTTGAGGGTGCACTGATGACAAGTAATTCTGACATTCGAAGAAGAACCTAGGCCACTCGGACCTTTCAGATTTGAACGCGACTGGTTTGCCGATTTGTTTCGAATCGATTCGCCCAGAGCTTATCGATGATGCTTTGGCTTCGATTCGCAACCGCAGCTCATCAACTCTTGTCTTGTGCTCTATTTCCGTTACCCTGGATGTTTGTTGCAATGCGTTAATTTGGTTCGACAACATCTTGGCTTGCCCTCGCAAGTCGTTTAGATCATTGGTCACCTTCGCAAGGTTCTCTGTCACAACCTGCAGCTGCTGGAGCGCTGCTTTCAACTGTTCTGCTGTTGCCGCCATCTTTGGAGTGGGCGGTCCTCGGATTCAATTCGCACGGATTGGAGTCGCAATCCCAGAGGTCCTCTTGAAGAGTGCGCTACGCTACCATGAGAAAGATGTGTGCTTTTTGAGGCTTCCTAAATGCTTGCGGAACGATGCAAGCGTTGCTATTCCCTTCAACTGTTGCTACCAACATGCCTAGACACTATCATGCTCGACGCGGCAGATCGATACATACAGCGGCAGTCCGACATGCAGACTGACCAGAACACGAGACAAACATAGAATAGACCAAACCACGTTCTGGAGACAATGTACCAAAGCAGTCAGTCTAGTGCATACCACAACAGTGGGACGTTAGGCAAGATAGGTTGACCCCTCAGCATGGTCATGAGCCCCCCCCAGTACATTAGCTGCTGCACCGCCAGCAGCAACAGCAGTCGCGGCCGTATCGGCATTTGCCCGCTGTCTCGTGGGCCTTGCGAGGATGTGAGGAACCCAGACGGCACGAATATCGTATTCGAGGAGAAGGTTGAAGAGGCCTTTGCAAGATCTGATCACTCACGCTCCCTTTGCCATGCTCCCCCCTCCTCCCCCAGCCGCCTTGCCTTTCCTCTCGGTCATTCCTGCTCCTCCCGTTCCTCTCAGTCCCACCCTCTGTCTTCTTGGGGAGTGTCTTTCGGAGCGTGAATTACCTACCCCGCTTTCGCTTCCAGGCAAAACCAAGTCATACCACGCGCCTCCTCGTCAAGCGGCCTGACCAGTACAGGCCGTAGTTTGGCATCGTTTGGTATCTCTTGGAAGCGAGGGTGGTCAAAAGCGAGGTAGGTTTGTTTTCCCCCTAGTCTTAGCAGTTTGGGGAGTCTCTCGGAGATTTCAGATCAGAGGCGGCGGGGCCCGGGGCACACGATTGGGTCGAAGCAGTTTTGCGGGCTCGGCGGGCAGCTCGAGGACGGGCCGTCGGGTGATTTGCTTCGAGGCGTTCAGTGAGAGGCCGTTCCGCGAGCCGCGACCGTCTCCAGATCCAGACAATTACAATCGGGGCCGTGAAGAAGGAGCCCTTCTCGTTGGGGAGGGGCTCCGCGTTCCTTAAGTGTTTCACAGCTTGCCTCAGGCTTTCCTTATGTTTTCGATCGGGAATCGAAGGTTAACTTATGGAAAAATGGGGCCTCGTTCCCTATTTAGGGTTCCTTAGGTCAACGCCCCGACTGTATGGGAGCCTCGCGCAAGGCCTCGCATCGATGCGCCGTCGGGGTTTGAAGTTTCTCGGGTGGTGCGCACCCGTCCGACCGCGTATCCCCACCTCGGGCAGGGGAGGAGGAGGGCACCCCTCCCCGAAGGGAGGATGGCTTTGGAATGGAAACGAAAGACGTCGTCAGACCACCTGCGCACCCAGGGGCTGCTGGGATCCCGACGATCCTTCTCCTGAGGTCTGCCGAAGCCGAAGAACCTTCCCGGGGGGGGGGGGGGGGGACCGCAGCCCGCCCAGCTGCGGCCGCCCGGCTCGGATCCTCAGGTAGGGGGCCACCTGCGAACCCTTCCCCTACCCCCCACGACTTCCGAGGGGGAGGGAGGGGGTTCACTTCGTCTGGGAGCTCCCGAGCGAAGTGAACCCCGCCCTGCCCCTCAGCAATCGTGGGGGGCAGGGGTAGGGTTCGCAGGTGGCACCCTATCAGGGGGTGCCTCGCGGCGCCCCGGCTCTCGCCGCGCCTCCACCGGCCGCTCGCTGGCCCGCGGCGCGGTCTGGGCGGGGCAGGGCCTCCGTGTGGGCCGGGCCGGGGCTCTCGTCCTCTCGAGGCCGTCGAGGGCCCCCTCCTGCCCGGGAGTGCTGCGCGCGCCTGCCCCTAAATCCCCCTGCCCCCTCCGCCCCCCCTCCCTTGTCCCCCCGCGCCAATACCTCTCTCCTGACAGTTTTCAGGACGAGAGCGGAAGCAGCTCAGCGTCCATGCTCTCGGGCTTCTCGTGTGCAGCCTGTGCCAGTCCTTTTGGCCGCTGCGCTCAAGCTAACTTGCAACGAGCTAAGTATAGTCAAAAGCCCCCCGCGCCTGCCATTGATCCCCCTGCCTCCTCCGCCCCCCCTCGCCCTCTGTCCCCCGCCTCGCCCCCTGGCGCGGCGTCGCGGTGTCGGCGTGCCGCGCCCGGGTGTCGTGTCGTCTCGAGGCCGTCGAGGGGGCCCTTTTTGCCCAGGAGCCCTGCGGGCTGCGGGCGTCCGCCGTTGTCCCCCCTCCTCCTCCTCCCTCCTCCCTCCTCCCTCCTCCCTCCTCCCTCCTCCTCCTCCCTCCCTCCCTCCTCCTCTCCTCCTCCTCCTCCTCCTCCTCCTCCTCCTCCTCCTCCTCCTCCCCCTCTGCCTCCGCCCCCCTCTCCCTTTTCCTGTCCCGTCCCCGCTCCCCCCCCCCGAATGCTCGAGCTCCTGGAGTAGGACAGCCTCTCAGGCGGCGAGTGTCGCGTTTCGTGGTGAAGAAGCTCCGTAGGTCGCCAGTGTATCACGCCTTCTTCCCTCCGCCTCCATCCTCGCCATGCCGCCGCCGCCGATGTTGCTTTAGCTTCTTAATGCGACATGGCCCAGCAGAAGCGCTGTCTTCTGGCAGTTTTTTTCAGTTGCTTCGTACTTCGCGGTTCCTCATTTGCTGTTGTGTGACGGGATCTTAATGAGATGCATTCGTAACACTTGGATGCATCGACCGTGGCCTCGCGTCTACGCTCCTGGTTCTCCTACTGCGCCTCCCCTCTTGTTTCCTCCGTCCTGTGCTTGTCGATGGTCTCACGTCGCGTGCAGCTGACGTCTCGTATTATATCATTGCCTTCGGCCCATCCCGCGACCTTGCCTGGGTTGTGGTGGAATCTCGTGGGAGGCCTCTCGGGGGCCTTTCCGGAGCTCTCTTGGGGGCCGTTGGGGGACCTCACTTAGGCCTCTTAAGGGGCTTCTTGGGGCCTCTTCGGGGCCTCTTGGAGGCCTTTTGGGGTCTCCTGGGCGCCTCTTGGGGCCTCCTGGGGGCTTCTTGGGGCGGGAAGCTCTGATGTTCGGTTCGTGTTCCTTCTTTCGGGCGCCTCTTGGGCCACCTTGGGGTGCTCAAATGTCGTCTTTGGGGCCCTCTTGGAGGCCTCTTGGGCCGTCTTGGAGCGGTCATGGGGGCCTCTGAAGCCGTCTCGGAGCGTCGGAAAGCCGAAAAGACGAGACGGCTCAACTCCATCAAAAACCTATGTAATATCAACTATTTGGGCCTCTTGGGGCTTTCTCGGGGGGCCTTTTAGAGGCCTTTGGGGGCGTTTTGGGGGCCTCTTGGGCAGTCTTGGGCCCATCTTGGGCGTCTTGGAGCGATCATTGGGCGTCTAGGGGGCCCTCTTGGACCGTCTTGGCGGCCTCTCGGAGCCCTCGTGGCCCGTCTTGGGGTTCTTTTGGGCCCCGCAAGTCGCGCGGGGCGACGCGGGCGCGCCGAGAGCCCCAGGGGGCACGCGACGAGCCCCGGGAGGTTTAGCAACGTTGGCTCAGGGCCCCTGAACGATTCTCCAGGAGTGAGGATGGAGGGCTTCACAAAGGACCTGTATTCACACATACACACATACATACATACATACATACGTACGTACGTACGTACGTACGTACATACATACATACATACATACATGCATACATACACACATGCATGCATACGTACGTACGTACGTACGTACGTACGTGCGTACGTACGTACGTACATACATACATACAGACACACACATGCACACATACATACATACATACATACATGCATGCATACATACAGACAGACAGACAGACAGACAGACAGACAGACAGACAGACAGACAGACAGACAGACAAACAGACATGCATTCATGCATGCATGCATACATACACACATACATTATATATGTATATATATACATATATAATCCGTAAGGGCTTCGCCCCCTGCCGCCGGCCCCCTCTCTCGGATAATGGGATACGCAGGAGCTAAATCATGAGGCCTCGGCGCCGCCTTGAAGCAGCATCGGCAAGAGAAATTGAGGTTCTGATGATATGCTTGATCTCAGTGCTGCATTTTGAAAGATGATGGCAAGGGAATATAGCATAATTTGCGAGGGTCTATGACATCGGGGTCGCAACTATAGTGTAATGTACGCCGGTTTATGACTTCGGAGACGCGAACACAGGTAAGTTACGAGGGTTTAGGATTTCTGAGACGCAACTACAGCGTAATTTACGAGGGTTGATGTCTTCGGGGTCGCAACTATAAGATAATGTACGCAGGTTTATGGCTTTTGAGACGCGATTATCTTGGAAGTTATAACGGCTTGTGGCTTCGGACACGCAACTATAGCATAATTTGCAAGGGTTTATGGTTTCGGGGACGCGACTATAGCGTAACTTACGCAGGTTTATGGTTTCGGAGACGCGAACATTGTATAATGTACGAGGGTTTATGACTTCGGAGACGCGACTAGAGGGTAATGTACGCAGGCTTATGGATTCGGAGAAGCGAGCATTGCGAGATTTACGAGCGTTTATTGCCTCGGGGACGCAATTATTGTTTGATTTACAAGGGTTTATGGTTTCGGGGACACGAATAAGGCGTATTGTGTCAGCGTTTATAGCTTCGGGGACGCGGGAATTTTGTATTTCACGTGGGTTTATGGCAGCGGGGACGCGACTATTGCATAATTCAGGAGAGGTTTATCGCGAATTTCATATATTTTTACGTGTCCCACGCCCCCCCCCAGGAATTCAGGCAACGCGATTCGGGCGTGGTAATCCGAATGCTTTTCGGCTCCCCCCCTCGCGCGGTCCATCAACAAGGAAAAGTAAGCAGCAAGCAGCAGAAGCGTAACAGTGGAAACTGGAAACTGGAACTGGTGCAGGGAACATCAAGCCCTACTCTGAGCCTACAGCCTGGTGGCCCCACAAGGGGGCCGGCGGATACATATATGTATATATATATATATATATGTATATATATACACATATATATATATATGTGTGTGTAAGAAACATCTACACATACACATCTTGTGGCCTGCGGCCAAGGCAGTGGCGGAGGCAATTCATTACTTTTCACGCGCTCGTTCTCTCTCAGGCCACGGTTCACCTCACGAGTTTCTCTATCGCAGGTCGGCTCGTGTGTTGCACCTGGTTTGCCTGGCGACGCTGAGAATCGCATGGCAGTCGAGGCTGCGCAGTGTGGAGTTCATGTGTTTAAGGGCGAGAGAGAGAGAGAGAGTCGAGCTCTGAGCCACCCTCCTGTCGCCCTCGTCCGTCGTCCGACGTCTGTCTGTCGGCTTGCAGTCTGGGGAGCCTGTGGCGCCCCAGCCCGGCGTGCATCCACCTGGCAGGCTCGCTTACGCGGGGGACGGAGCGGCGGAGAGGACCAGGTTGCGCCACAGGGCGAACCTTTGCGTCGCCCCCCTGTCGTCCTCGTCTGTCGTCCGTCGTTCGTCTGTCGGCCTCTTCGTCTCTCCGCACTTTGCTACAGGGCTATGGGGCCATGAACCGTGTGAGGGATGTGCTGACATGAATGCAGACCCGCATGTGGACCCTCACCCTGGGGCCTGCGGCGGAGCTCCCCATGGGGCCACCTGTGTGAGGGGTGTGCCAGCACGCATGGGGAACCTCATGTGGACTCGACTTGGGGCCGTCGGTGGACTTTATCGTGGGGTCACGAACCCTGTGAGTTGTGTTCCGAAATGGGTCGGCTACCGCACGTGAACCCTCCGATGTTGATGACGATGGCGACATGGACGTGCGGAGGGCAGAGGCAGGGTTGGGAGGAGGGAGGGACGGGAGGAGGAAGGAAGACATGACGCGGGGCGCTGTCGTTTTTTTAAACGAGTACCCAACACCACAGGCTGGTTGGGAAACATCTTCTTGTGCTCGCATGGGCACAAAAAGCAGCACACTGCCTCCCTCGCTCTTTGGAGTGGTCGGTTGGCCCGCCCGTGCCGAGCAAGCATCGAGCACGCGTCGCCTGTATTCGCTGCAGTTTGCGCGGCTGTTTGCGCGGCTGTTCCGACATGAGGGCGCGGCAGCAATCATGCCTTGTTTCGTTTTCCTCGATATTCCCTCGTCATCAAGTCTTGCCTGGCGGTGCAGGTCTCTGCCTCCTTGGCCAAGAAGAGGCGGCAGCAGCTGAAGGACGCTCGCTGCGCAGAGCGCCGCCAAAGGGGAGCAGGCGAATACGTGGGATATTCCAAGATGGGGGAGGACGGGTAGGCGGAGGAGGAAGGACGATTGGGGCGAGGAGGAGGATAAAGGACGAGGCAGAGCAGGAGGAGGAGGGTGCAAGGGATGGTGCAGGAGAAAGAGGAAGAGAAGGAGAAGGCGGACGAAGGATGACGGATGCGGAGGGGGGATGATGATGCGGAGCAGTAGATGGACGAGAATGATGATGCGATGATGCAATGATGCGATGATGATGTTGCTGATGATGATGCTGACGATGACGGTGATGGTGATGATGATGATGATGATGATGATGATGATGATGATGATGATGATGATGATGATGCTGACGATGACGGTGATGGTGATGATGATGATTATGCTGATGCTGATACTGCTGCTGATGATGATGATGATGGTGGTGGTGATGATGATGCTTATGCTGCTGATGATGAGGATTGTGGTGGTGGTGATGATGATGCTGCTGCGGCTGATGATGATGATGATGATGATGATGATGATGATGACGATGACGACGGTGACGACGACGAGGCTGATGATGAGGATGATGCTGCTGATGATGATCATGCTGATGCTGATGATGATGAGGATGATGATGATGATGATGATGATGATGGTGATGATTATGAGGAGGAGGAGGGAAGTCAGAAGAGGAAGATGGGGGGATAGGATGAGTACTTCCCAAACGATGCTTGAACTTGGGATTTTTTTCCAGCTGCCCCACGGCATTGCATGGCTCTGGCGAGGTTTCGCCACACTGCCGCCCTGCTGTCGCCGTTTGCGCTGTGTGTACGGGCCTGGCGAAGTTCCGCCCCGCTGCCGCCTCGTTGGCGCCTCGTGCTCTGTGCGTGTGTACTTGCCTGGCGAGGTTTCGCCACGTTGCCGCCCACTGCCGTTTCGGTGCCGCCTCTAGTCTGCACCATGTATGTTGCACCACGTAGCTTACACCACATGGCTTGCACCACATAGCTTACACATCCACTGTGCAACAGCTTATTGGTCAGGACCACGCAAGGCCAGACTTACTAATCTGATACTGGGGATGGTGAAATGATGGTGGCGACGATGGTGGTGATGGTGACTACGACGGTGCTATTGATTGCGATGATGGTGATGCTGTTGTTGTTGATGATGATGGTGGTGGTGGTGGTGGAGGAGATGATGCTGCTGTTGCTGCTGCTGGTGATGCTGAGGACGACGACGATGAGGATGATAATGACAACTTTCGTTCATTATCATACAGGGGGGGATATGATGTGGGCGAGAAGGAGCAAAATGAGTCGGGACGATGGGGGGAAATGTAAGGACGAGGGGGGATGAGGACGAGGACGAGAGGACGGGGACGACAAAGACGGCGAGGGTGGACATGATGTTGTTGCTTCTGCTGATGAGGATGATGCTGGTGATGAGGCTGGTTGTTGCGTTCTGATGCTAGCCAGCGTGGGCCCCAAACAGTAGGTTCTTGCAGTGTATGCGGTGCAACCTATGTTGTGCAATCAATTTCTGTTCGCATTGAGTTGTCCACTCCACTGCCCGCTCAAACATCCCACCCACAAACCTGCAACTTGGTTTGCAAACCTCATGCGGCGGCGATTGCAATGAGTGCTTTGCGCTGGCTGGTGTATCTCCGCGGCCGCGCCAGCCCGCGCATGCGCACGTTCGCAGCGGCCAAGTAGCTCGGCGCGACCGACGCGGCCGCGGTGGCGCTGACCGCTCGGCACATCCAGGCGGGCACTTGACTGCGAGTCGGCGACTTTGGCGGGTGCGGTATCATGGCGACGTCGACAGACTCGACGATGTGATGATAGTAGCGATGTTAGTGACGATGCTGACAGCGACGACGTCACGGCCAGTGACGGCGCCGCTGCCGATCACGCCGGCGACGATGACGGCGCTTTCACGTCGGTGATGATGGTTTTGAGAAGGGAGTTGAAATGTGCCCGCCGCAAACGCGCGAGAGTGGCTCGCATGTTAATCTTTGAGACGGATCGTGCCACCCCAGAACGCGCGCAGGGGCGTGCGATCGATTTCGACATGCGAGCGCGCGCGAAGACCGTTTTGTGGCATTTTATGCACATGTTGAAATGCATGGTTTTCTTAAGACTTCGCCAGAGCGCGCGTGCCCACGTTTTTGGTGAAAATCCGTGTTGCGAAACCTTGTGTTGCTGTATGTATTTCGGGTTTCTCGATTTTGAAATCATTCCGAAACCGAGCGTTTTTGAAGGACTCCTGCACGCGCGCGGCGACGCGCGCGGGCGCGTTTCGCCGCGTTTTTTCGCAGAGGATTCTCGCGACGGCGCGCGCGCGAGGGCGTTCGAACGATTTTGACGCGCGCGATGTTTTTGTTTGTTTGTTTGTTTGTTTTGTTTGTTATTGAAAATATTGGGGAACTTTTTGGTTTTCTCAATGTTTTCTTCTCCACGAGAGCGCCTGCTAGTTTTCGCCCGCCCGTGACCCAAGCGGCCGCCCCTTCGCGGTCGCGCAGGCTTGACTTTGGCCGTTTCTCAAGAATTCGCATGAGCGCGCGCGTGTTTTTGAGCGTCCGCGCTGCGAAACCTTTTGTTTTATATATTGTTCAAGCGCTCGATTTTTGCATGCGCGCGACGACGCGCGCGTGCGCTTCGTCATATTCTTTCACAAGGGATCCTTGAACACTTGACTTTTGGTAAACGAGTGCTCGCGCATACTGTTCTATTGCAGAGGATGGGGTGGGGGGGGGGGGGGCGATGCCGGTTTGGCTGGGGTAGCCTGGGTCGCGGGCAGGATGGACATCAGGTCAGAGCCCCGCGCGTTTTGCATCGGTTCCCGGGGGGGCTCTAGCCCCGGTGGGCGGGGTGGGGCCAATTTCTTTTCTCTTTTTTTGAAAAGAGAATGCATGCGATGCAATCCATATAACGCACTAGACGCTGAGCAAACTACGCGGCGCAATGAATTTCTGTTCGCAATGAGTTGCCCGCTCCACGCTCGCGCAAACTCGCCGCCCGCCCGCCCGCAATTTGGTTTGCGAACCTCACGCGGCGGCGATTGCGACGAGTGCTTGGCGCTGGCTGGTGCATCTCTGCGGCCGCGCCAGTCCGCGCGCGCGCGGCGGCCAATCAGCTCGGCGCGACCGACGCGGCCGCGGTGGCGCTGACCGTTCGGCGCACCCACGCGGGCACTTGGGTGCGGGTGGATGACTTGGGCGGGTGTGGTATCATTGCAACGTCGACAAGTGCAGACGCGATGGTGATGGTAGTAGCGATGTTGGTGGCGATGCTGACAGCGACGGCTGCCGACGGTGCGGCCAGTGACGGCGTCGATGCCGATCGCGCCGGCGACGATGACGGCGTCTTCGCGTCGGCGATGAAGGTTTTCAAAGGAATTCGACATGCGCGGGCGGCAGGCGCGCGAGAGTGGCTCCCGTGGTATTATTTGACACAGATCGTTCCACCCCTGCACGCGCGCAGGGGCGTTCGAACGATGTCGACACGCGCGCGCAAAGTCCGTTTGATCGCAGTTTATGAACATGTTGGAAACTTAGGTTTTCCTTGAATTTGCCAGAGCGCGTGCGCGTATCCTTGAAATCCGCGCTGCGAAAGCATGCGTTTTTTTTCGCGTGTGTTTCGGGCGCTCGATTTTGGCATCTTTCTGAAACCGATAGTTTTTGAAAGGTTTCGGCACGCGCGCAAGGGCTCTCGAACGAATTGTACACGCGCGCGCGGAACCCGTTTGGCGGCATGTTCTGAACATGTTGAACACCCGGGGTGTCTTATGGGTTCGCAAGAGCGCGCGCCCAAGCTTTTCGTGAAAATCCGCGTTGCGAGACCAGTTGTCTTTGCATGCTTTTTGAACACTCGGTTTTGAAATTCTTCCGAGAGCGATGGTTTTCGAAGGATTTTGGCATGCGCGCGCGACGACGCACGCGCGTGAATTTCGTCACTGTTGTGTTGCAAAGGGATGTTTGGAACTTCTGGTTTCGGGCAAACCAGCGCGCGCGCGTGCGATTTCTGCGCGGGGGATGGCGGGGTGGTGGGCGGGGGGGGGGGGGGGTGCAAGTTTGGCTGGGATAGTAGGATGCAAATTGGGTCAGAGCCTCATGCGTTTTGCATCGGTTCCCGGTGGTCTTTAAAAAGAGGCCCCCCCCCCACCCGCGCGTTTCATTGACCCCGAGAAATCTGTTCGCAGTGAGTTGCCCACTCCACGCACGCGCAGACATCTCGCCCGCCCGCCCGCAACTTGGTTTGCGAACCTCATGCGGCGGCGATTGTGATGAGTGCTTTGCGCTGGCTGGTGCATCTGCGGCCGCGCCAGTCCGCGCATGCGCGCGCGCAGCGGCTAGGTAGTTTGGCGCGACCGACGCGGCCGCGGCGGCGCTGGCCGCTCGGCGCACCCCAGCGGGCACATGAGAGCGAACATGAGAGCGAATCGGCGACTTGGGCGGGTGCGGTCTCATGGCAACGTCGACAACTGTAGACTCGAATATGATGATAGTAGCGATGTTGGTGACGATGCTGATAGCGTGGACGGCGCGGCAAGTGACGGCGCCGATGCCGATCGCGCCGACGACGATGACGGCGTCTTCGCGTCGGCGATGAAGGTGCTGGAAGGAATTCAACATGCGCGCGCGGCAGACGCGCGAGAGTGGCTCGCTTGGTATTATTTTGACACGGATCGTGCCACCCAGCACGTGCGCGAGGGCATTCGAACGATTTCGACATGCCCGCGCGCGAAACATGTTTGTTCGCATTTTATGAAGGTGTTGCAATAGTTCGGTTTATATATATATATATATATATATATATATATATATATATATATGTCGGGATACGGTGCCCGGTGCCCCTGGCCAGCTGCCTCGACTCGCCATGGGGGGACCCCCCCCGGATATCTGTCGGGGCACGGGGCCGGGGGCCTTTGGCCAGCTGCCTCGACTCGCAATGGGCCCCCCCCCCAGGGGCCTCTCCAGAGCCGCT